CCAGTCATGTGCCGAAGAGGTGGGCACATCACAGCGACACTGCCCGCCGCGCCGCTTTGAGTCGCGCCGGGCATGTTACGCCGAGGCGTGTCTCAACTGGAAAGCTTATTGAGTTGAATGCAACTAAAGAACTGAGCCGAGGGGAACGCGCTTCATTGAAACGCTATTTTTATATAGGTTTATTATTTATAAGCCGTCATGCATCAGATTCAAGTCGAAAGACAAGTGAAGCGGTGAACTGATGAAAATCACTACAAAATAGAGCCTTATTTATGTACTCTGGCTCAGAAGCCTGTTCAAATGTGCATTGTATGATGCGGCTTCTTCAGCAGCCACCATTGGTATATATTTACGCTTCAATGCCTAATTTCAAAATCCAAACCAAGCATAATATGTGTCTTCTGATTTCACCATTTACTTTCGCAGAGTGTTCCAAGATGAACTGTACTCCGCTTTTTCCGCGGCAAACTAGCAAACTTATCACCTAAAACAATAGGTGGATGAACTTATAAGAAACAGTAGGCAGACCCAATAAACATCACCACCCGTAGCAAACTGAAAGCCTTGTGAAACTAGGCTGCAGTGAACGCTACTTGTTCAGCAAATGAGCAGCTGCATTTAAAAATGCGGTTGAGTCCGTTAAAGGCTTCATAATAAGGAGTGATACCCTTAATAAGGGAAACACATGCATAGACGAACTTATTCAAACTAGCTGAAATATTTGCAAAATTACAAAAGCTCTGAAACACAAAGCAACGAATTACAACACTGACTTAGCAAAACCCGTCTTGCCAGCCCATCTGCCGATAGACGGCCGGAGTTGCACGTAAAGCGCTGAAGCAGTGCCGTCTCCGCTCGGTCGGGGCTCCAGGGTCCGGGCTGCTCCGTCACCATTAGCGGCAGAGGTCTCCGGGGGGCTGAGCCATCCGGTCTCAGCGCCGCACGCGTCATCCGTCACCGCGGCGCCGGCAGTGAACACAGGCGTCATCAGCGCCCGCGCGTGAGACGGAGCCGGGCGCAGCAAGAGGGCAGCGTGAGAATAACAGATGGACTTGGTGAGGTCAGGGACGGGTCGGGGTCGGAGCTCCAACACGAGGGTTTAGAGCGTTGGGTGGATCGGAGTGGACGATACAGCACAGCCTGGCTGGCTGAGGGATAATGGCATCGGTCATATGATCGTTCACTTAGCACGTACCGTCGTAGCTCCCACGAACAGTCCCCGCCACCATTTGTCATTGGCTTATCACCATCATGTCATATCAGGGCGAAATAGACATGCTCATGTCTATATATTTCCTTGGTACTATTTCTACACATCGCAGGGTCGCAGCCAAGGCGATTAGGATGATAACTATTCGTACTATGAAAAGCAGAACTATCAGCACTAATGATGCTTCCCAAAAAAGCTCGTTATACATATTACTATGCTAGGATCTGGGGGGCTATCCCCAACTGTCACATTCCAGCTTAGTCATACACAATGCACCACAGCACGGGGAAACTCCCGCCTATTGAGGGGCCTGAGGGCCTATTCAGAACGGCGCCGCAGCTAAACGCTGCGAGCAGCGCTGGAAAACGCTTTGAATACCAGCAAAATGGTGAGCTAACGAGTCCAACAACATTCCCCCGCAGCAGCCTTTTTATGTTAATTCCTCATTAGTTATTGAAATCGCAAGTTTTTCACAATTAACCGACAAGCGCCATCAAAGTGATGAAAGAGACCTTATGAATATTTGACAGCCATTAAGGCGGTTTACATATTACCAGACGTGTTGCAGCGCAGAGCTGACATTAAAAAAATCTACACAACTGTTCACAAGAGGCGGCAATTTATAGATGAAGCCCCGGAGCTCAAGGCACACGAGACCACGCAATACATGTGGGTTTTTGTCATCACTGCGCCTTTCTACGCAGATGGCTATTCAATGAGGCCGTTTGTGGAGCTTCTTGAACAGCCAGTGATAAGTATGAAAATAATTAGACCAGCAAAAAACGCCCCTCGCATTATCATTTACAAGAAATCATACTTATGGAAGCTTAAAGACTTGGCAGATTCGCCTGCTCATTGTCCCTTGCTGCTATGGGATAACTAGCAACACATACAACATGATATAAGATCCTTATTTCGCAGCCAGCGATGATATTTCCTCAGCCGCCGCTCGTCCATGGCACGGCGCGGCAGTCGGCAGGGGAGGTTAGGCTGTGCCGCAGCACACCACTGTACTCCGGCACAGCCTACCGAGCTCTGACGAAACGGGCACTACGGAGCAGCTCGGCCTCGGAGGCTGGCGTGATTCAGAGGTTAGGTATAGTTTGTGAAATTCTGTCGGGATGCATGGAGATTGTTTATGGACCAGCGTTTAAGTTGAGAAAAGCCCAGCGAGCACAATAGACTCGCAGCCCACCGCCCCAACCGGTTCATCGGCATGAGTTTATGGGTCTGTTCCAGTGGTTGCTCTAACCTCCTCTAACTTCTAAGCTCCTCTAACCTCCTCTCATTTCAATAAATAATTCCAGTTGCTCTTACCAGGTAAGGTAAGAACAATAATTCCAGTCGCTCTTACCAGGTAAGGTAAGAGCACCTGGAGTTATTTATTGAAATGAGAGGTCAGAGGAGCTTAGAGGAGGTTGGAGCAACCACTGGAACAGACCCTATGTTAAAAGTTCAGCACACCACAAACCGACTCCCTCACGGTCACTTCAGCTCTGCAGCATCCCTTCTTACCTCCATCACATAGGTACCGGCTCCACAACCGGTCTAATGGAGCCACTCGGACCCCACAGCACCCATCTTCAGTCGCTCCTATGCGTGTTACGGGAAACGTGACCGAAATAGCGTGCCACATCCTAAGCCGCCGGATCCTTCAGCCCGATCGAAGCTCCACGCGCCTAACTCGCTCATATTTCGAGTGATACCACCAGTAAACAGATCACAGTTAAACACTGTCCTGCTTACATAGCCCAAAACAGGCGGCTTTCTGTTTGAGCGGCCGTTTCTCTGTCGGACAGTGGACAGAAATTTGATGTCATGATGTTCCCAAATTATTGCAAAACAAACGAATGACAATTAAGCCGGTGATAACTACGCTAATGAGGGGAGTAACACTGACGGGCGAGGCGGGCGACCATCGGAAGCTTAGAGGTCACGGCTGGCGTACGTTAGCGGTTCAAATGAGCCATCAAACTTCCTGAACCAGGTCAGCCCACTATCGATAAAAATATTAACAACAAAATTGATAGCCTACAGAAAGCAAATCACCCGTTCCTTTCTACATGGACCCAGGACAAGCACCTCAAGTCTGTTCAAACTTACAAGACTGGGGCACATTCCAGCAGCGACTATTAGTCTCAAACGGGATTGTGGTAGTCTCATGCCTAATGCTCTCCATTTAAATTCCGCTTACAAGAAAAGGTCAAAGGCCGCAGTCGATACCACTACTGATCGCTCTTAGAAATCGGCCTTGACCTTACGGATCGATGGAAAACGACAGTCTACCAGACGCTGTGACCCCGCAGAAGTCGCCCCTCCCCTCCCCGAGGTCTCTCCGAAGTGGCTCTGGGAACAGCCCGCCGCCGAGAGATGGGGAGAGCGCTAATACCGGCAATTAGCGGGTGTGGGCCCGACACTAGTCGAGAATTAGCGGCGCTAGTGGCAGCCGCCGTTGGGGAATCTGCCTCTGTCGAGCACTAACGACCGATCGGGCGTCAGCGGCTCGGGTGGACTGGCAGCAGCGGCAGGTAGGGGACGGGGCGACCAGCTGCAGCAGTGGCAGCTAGGAGACGCGGGACAACTGGAACTGTCAGCGCGGACCTGATGGACGGTACTTCAGGCATATCCCTGGCCGGGGTAGCCTATTGACATCAGAAGACCCCTACTAGATACGGCCAAAAGATTCTCAAAAATTAGCGACAGAGCGTGGATTGTCGTTACTACATAGAGAGGTCCCTCATCTTGTTATTATAGCCTCCTTGTTATTGAAGTCAACGCGGAGACGAGCCTACATGAGAGAGGACCGTGACCTTACGACCACCAACCCCGCAGACGCCGCTCCATTGTGGCAGCTCGCAGCTTCCTGTTTCTGTTTTCGCCGCCCAAACTTGGTCCGTCGCCGGGCCGACCGGCTCTGTCTGCCGAAAAACAGCGCTTCCGGCGACGGAAGTCCAACTTCCGGTTCAGCTTCCGGAAGAGCGCCGATCAGCAGCCAGGCCGGCTATGTGACCCAATACGGTACGGGAGGACAGACCGCGGGGGCGGCTAGTCGTGGGGTTGGCACCGGTTCCAAGTCGGAGGGAAACACTGATTACTTTCAACTTCCTTCAACAACGTTCTTTAACTACATACACAAAGGAGATGTAGAATGAACCGCCTGTGGTCTTTCAACACACGTCTTCAGCCCAGTATAACACGTATCCATCGCTGATCATCAATCCTCGTACGATATGCCTGATAACCACGAAGACCTTCGAGCCAGTTTGAATAATTCACCGGAATGGTTCAGCGCACCGGACGGATCTATCGACGGGTATGTTCACTGCATTATAAACCCCATCGGAGCCCACGGTCGATGTTGCTCAGCGTTCTAATTTGGTCGTGCCGTGATTTGACGCGTTGTCGATACTGTGCCGCAATGCACCCATGTATAGCGGTGCAGTATGCTCACCCGACCGGCCGGCTGGCCGCTTCAACGGCGCCCATGAAGACAGACTGACGTGATTGGTTGTTTGTTTATTGGGGCTTTAGGGCCCGCCAACTGCAAAGGTCATTTTGCGCTCATCGACGTAAGTGAGGGCGCAGGGCAAACGGAAGTGTAATGTGATCTGACGCGGTGCATGAATATCGCTGTGATATGAACTGAAGCAGAGTCACGGGATATTTTAACGTAGTTATGTGAGTAATATGATTAACTGGCGCGTCAGTGTGACACGCCGTGTGATGTGATGAGCAGACGCGGTGGTATGTTGAACTGTCGTATGACCGGGCCACGCCTCTGGCCACTCACCTGATACATGAGCTCGTCGTGTAGGTGCAGCACGAGTCGCGGAGCGCCGGCGGGGTCCTCTGACCGCCTCTCCCTCAGTCGCCGGTGGATGGCACTCGTGGCCCTCTTCACCAGGTCGGCCGCCGAGCCCTGGACCGTGGTGTTCACTGCCTGCCGCTCCGCCGCGCCTGTGAGAGGGTTACAGGAGTGGGGCAGTCAGTGGGCGGACTAAGCGGGGTGGACGGGTTACAGGAGTGGGGCAGTCAGTGGGCGGACTGAGCGGGGTGGACGGGTTACAGGAGTGGGGCAGTCAGTGGGCGGACTGAGCGGGGTGGACGGGTTACAGGAGTGGGACAGTCAGTGGGCGGACTGAGCGGGGTGGACGGGTTACAGGAGTGGGGCAGTCAGTGGGCGGACTGAGCGGGGTGGACGGGTTACAGGAGTGGGGCAGTGGGGCAGTCAGCGGGCGGACTAAGCGGGGTGGACGGGTTACAGGAGTGGGGCAGTCAGTGGGTGTATAGAATGGTGAGGCTCGGGGCGAACGGAGGAAATCAGTGCGTGATACTGAATGCCAGCGAGTGCCCTTTGAAGCCAGCGAGGGATACAATGCCTGAATGACGCTCAATAAAACCAGTGCAATCCAGTTGGCTCATTTCCTTTCAGTCCTACAAATCAGCTACAGCTCACGTCGAGTAAAGGTATTCGCTCGGGAGGTAGCACACAATATCCACTGAACATATTTGTTCACATCAATAGTCTGATTAAACTAAAACAGAATCGACCAGCGACTGCAATCGACTATGCAGCTGCAATGTTAATCATAGCTTTTCGCTGAGCTGACGTAGACGGTCGATTTGATGTGATGCACGGCTGGCTTTCATCAATAATTACGATGGTGCTCAAATTGAACACCACACCACGTCAACTAGGCGTGTGCACGTGGGACCGGTCAGCAGGTGAATAAGGTAAGACGGTAACAAAAAAGCAATTATTTGTTACAAAGGTGGTAACAAAGCGCGCATCTAGCACGGAAGAGGTAACCAAATGATTAACTTTTAAGCTTTTGATCGTTGCGCTCTTAAGCCGAGAAAAAAGCAAATAAATAGATTCAAGAAAGAAGAAACGAGCCGCGGAGTTCGATAGCGATTTTACCGAAGGCGTCAAGTGTTGCCGACGAGGTCATCATTATGCGCCCATAAAGGACTCTTGTGTAAATGAGAGGATAACACATCTGTGAAAAAGCAAAAGTCTACGACCAATCTTGATATGCATGCATCAACACGAGTCATAAAGCCAAGCGGAGGCCATGCAAACGTTTGGTGAGCTCGTTCCGAATGACATCAAGCGTGCCTAGAAATAACGACGACAGCGCATTCACTCGAACAACAAATTTCCAACTTCGACCAGAATATGACATTTAGTGTAAAATATGATGCAGTCCCGGGCCAAGTTCAGATATAGAAACGTGCCGCGCCTGAGACGCGGGCGTGACTGTCCATCGCCGACCAAAAACCCCTCAGGCTGGTCTGGGGACGTGCAGGGGTGTTCGACTCACCGCGCGCCGCCGGGCTGCCGCTGGTGATGTCGGGCAGGTAGCGACGCCGGCCGGCCAGGGTGGTCACGTACCCCTGGCGGACGCAGTCGGCTACCACCCGGGATAGGAACGGACGGATACCTGCCGGGCAGAGAACGACATTTGAGGGGGTGGGCGGGTAGAGCACGGCCGGGCGCCTGTGCTGTGCTCGGTTTGGGACGGTGTGGTCAGACAGAGCACTGTCAGGGTACGGCACAAAGTGCCTCCCCGACCCGTCATATGCCAACGATGTGGCAAAACAGCTTTTGGCTTCGAGCGATTTGAAACTAGGATTTAAAAAAGCAGCGATTTCTCCCTCGGTTTAGAGTGGAAAATGTAGTGGAAGCCATTTTAACTAACAAAACGAGCAGTCAAAAGAGATTATGAGCATCGAAAACTGGAGTACTGAAGTACTGGACAGTATGACTAAAGGCACCGCACAATCGAAAGCGATTGTTTTAATTTTGGATAGTTTTTGTCACCTAAGATACTTTTATCAAGATGATATAGATCGCGACTCAAAGTAAAAAAAAAAAAGAAGAAGAAACAGATAGATACAAACACAAGGCACTTTTCAGCCATTTGCCAGCAAGACTGATCATGTTTCACTTACCGTATGTCCTAGTCTCAATTAAAAGTTACGCTAAGCCAACGATTACAACTAACGGAATTACGTAAGCACCTAAAATAGAACGAAGTGGCTAGTCAGTTCCCTCTGAAAACCTGGCTCTTTATGGCGCTTGTTGCATCATTAGGATCGCACACAATTTAATTTAGGCCTGAGAAATTCTCTCGTGCTCACAGCACTTTGTTATTGTTCGTGAACTAAATAAAGCCGCTTCCTTATTGCTCATGACGACAGTCCTGACCCCTATCCGGAGCGTCTTTACTCCGGAGCGGAGCGAAGCGTTCACCAACGGAGAGTCCTGACCCCGATTGACGGCGAGAGTTACGGCAGCATCTAGCGTTTAGTCGGCTGCCAGCAGCATGACGTCTAACCGGTTGGCCGCGGCCATGCATCATACCAGAGTCGAATATCTCCTAAGAGCTATCGTCGGCTGCTCGTCTACCTGTCGCGGACACTGGTCCGCTAACGTGCCGTGGACAGACCACCCTTGGCCTCTTGGACAGCACAGGGAACCAAGAACCACGCGTGACAGCAGCGTGTAGCGTATAGCGCACGCTCCCACTGACCGGGAAACTGGCGGTGGAAGGTGTCCTGCAGCTGCCCGGCGCGCTCCTCGGAGACAGCCATCTGGGCGGCCAGCGAGCGTTCGCCCATGCCGTAGATGATGCCGTAGCAGAGCGCCTTGGTGTGCTGACGCTGCTCGTCCGTCACCTGCGGGAAACGTCACCATAGGTTAGGGCAGGTCAGGTCAGGTCAGGTAAGGTCAGGGCAGGTCAGGTCTAGTCACCGTCCAGTACATGACACATTTATATGGGCTCGTCAAAATTCCGTGAAGCAGTTGAAGACGTTTTGACACCGAGGCAAGTAGGACAGCTGAAAGTCAGCTTGATTTTGTTTTATATTGATCATTTATCCTTTACATGACGTCCAATCACACAGATCTAGGGCAGATGCCAATTTACAGAGCCGAGCGGCTCAGAAGCCCCCCTGTATATCGGATGCGGCTCTGCGGCCGGGCGCCATTCGACGGGCGGCCTCTCGACCCTGATGCGGGCTATGACCTCATCACGGCTGTCTTGTGCCCGTCCCCGCGGACCTGTTTGATAGTCGGACGGTGACGGGCGGGCGGCCCCGGTCGCCGGTCAGACAGAACACCGGTCGTCGAACCGGGTCACGTCGCGCCGAGGGAGTCAGATTCTGTCGTGTCACTTGGTCATGCATTGGACTGTACAATGATGCAGTGAGCTATGTTTGGCTTGGAAATAATGTGGTCAGCAAGGGGAGGAATTTCGGAAGGAATGTCGAATGTCGATGCTAGGTTTCATTGTTTGGGGTTCCTTCTTGTTCATGTGGATTGTGTGAAGGTCAGCCCAAAACAGAATTTGACACAATAGAAAGAAGCTGTTTGCTGCTTAGGTCGTTAAGTTGTCATTTCAAATGTTTGACGTAAGCCTTCCTCATGAAACATTCGTACATTGTGTCACATTTGCATGTCCAGTGATGGAGGTTTAAAAAATAACTATAATCATCATTATATCAACTATATAGCAAGATAATTTGTGTCACTTTTTTACGATCTGCTGTTTTTATAACTCCATTAGCAAAAAAGGGTGACGCGGAGCAGGTTCTCTCTAAAAACTGAGATACTGTGTGCTTGTGATAGTTGGAATCAAAGTAATGCATTGAATGCAACAATGCCAGCCGCCAGGGTCGAATGGTGTATAGCGCCATAAAACTGAGCAATAACTGAGACGATCAGTGCAGTCTGCCCACTGCCAGTCAAGGAGCCGGCAATATTATCAACAAAACATATTGTTCGCGAGCGATCGCCTATAAGAGAAAGTTAATATAAATTGTATCGTTCACCTATGATATATTGTATGTTATTGAGTTCTGTCATAAAGAAACAACTTGAAATGCGTCACCGACCCCTTTTAAACGACTTCTTCATCCTAATAGAGTTCCAACACTCTACAAAAAGCATTTCTCTTACTCTCTCCCTATTCTCTTGCTTCTCCTCCCTCTCTCTCACCCACTCACTCACTCACTCACTCACTCACTCACTCACTCACTCACTCACTCACTCACTCACTCACTCACTCACTCACTCACTCACTCACTCACTCACTCACTCACTCACTCTCTCACATCCCTTCCACGCAGTCCACCTTCACTCCGACCTCAAAAGCCCGCACCCTTTGTTGGGTCTACCTCAACAGTGATACGGACAGCCCAAAAGGCCAAAACCATCCTTTAGCAAGGAGAGAAAGGAAGGGGAGGAGGATGCAGTCAACCAGATGTTCCACCAATCGAGCAGGAAGATTAAGTATGTACCGGCGGCGGGAACGGGGTACACTACCGTCACAACCACCACGGTTCGCCCGGCAGATGGACAGCCGCCCGGAGGAAGACCCTGGCGAGCGGTCACGGAGGCCGACGGACAGATCGGGGCTTCACGCCGGCGATCGGACGCGGCCGTGACCTTCTCTAATCGGTGCCACAGTCATGGCGACGGTGTTAACCACTTACGTAACATATGCATACTCCCAACGTCCAACATACCATACTACCACAACATACCACCGACACACGATGTCTATCGCCAAAGGTACCATCCCACTGACTCTGCACAGAGTACAGAGTACAGAGTACAGAGTACAGAGTACAGAGTACAGAGTACAGAGTACAGAGTACAGAGTACAGAGTACAGAGTACAGAGTACAGAGTACAGAGTACAGAGTACAGAGTACAGAGTACAGAGTACAGAGTACAGAGTACAGAGAGAGAGAGAGAGAGAGAGAGAGAGAGAGAGAGAGAGAGAGAGAGAGAGAGAGAGAGAGAGAGAGAGAGAGAGAGAGAGAGAGAGAGAGAGAGAGAGAGAGAGAGAGAGAGAGAGAGAGAGAGAGAGAGAGAGAGAGACGGCTGCTGACGCACCTGCTCGGAGTTGACCCCGGTCCAGGCGGCAGCGATGAGACGGAACGGGTCGCCGTGCCGGTCGAACAGTCGCTGCAGCCGCGACTCGCCACTCAGATGAGCTAATAAACGCAGCTCGAGCTGGCAGTAGTCGGCCGACACCAGCGTCCAGCCTGGGGACAGGTTGGTACAGTCAACACGGGCAGACACCATAACTCAGCCTGGGGTTAGATCAGATGAACAGTCCACACGGCTTACCAGCAGCTACAATGGGGAACACGCCAGATAAAGTACCTATATGGTAAGAGCAGCTGTGGTCTTGTGCAAACGGACTGCGGAGATCATCGACACAAAAGAAGGAAAAAAACCGGGAAGACTTTTTCTCACTGAGAGCATACTAGACAACAGCCGCCTCATATTCTCCCGACCACTACTGACCTGGCGGCGCCACGAAGGCGCTGCGCAGGCTGACGCTGCGCCCGCCGGTAAGGCTGAAGTCGCGCGGCACTGTCTGCAGACTGGGCTCGTGCATGGTGACCCTCCCGGTAGCAGTATGGGTAAACCACCGGCCGCGCACCACCCGTCGACTGCCGTCCGTGCCGGTACACTCGGCCTCCCGCTGCAGCGGCTGGGCTATCTGGGCGGACACACGGCGGGGGAAACAAAATGTTTGTCAAGTAATCTTGGTGAGTGCGAACGATCGCAGCTCGAAGAAAACGACGAGAGCGAAAGAGGGGAGGGCGCGGAAAGATGAGCGTCGCAGGAGTGATCTTTGAAGTTTATACATGCGATTTTTTAGCTGAAATTTGTTTCAGCCACAAGGAACAAAAGACCGCTAATAAGGGTATTGTAATTGTTGAAAACATCCCAGCAATGCGGACGTAATATCCAGAGCCACGGTTATTACATCCCGGGAAATTGGCCGCAGACATACTTGCGCCAACAATAACAGTGCGCATAAATTGGACTCACTACAAATAACCTCGAGCTGACTCATACACAATTAGCTAGAGTGGGACAAAAACTCCGTAACAGCTAATCACATAGCTCAGAAAGGCTGCAGGGATATTACCCGCTAGACTTAACGGACTATTTGGTATTTTGTAGAAAATGAATCGGTTCATCAACCTTGAATTTATTTGGATTTTCATTAATTTGTCATCGTATTTGAAACGAGGCTTCGCTGTCCAAGTCAACACATTCACTGGTAGGTAGCCATTCATATTTCACATGATGTACAAAAAACATTAATGCATACACCCAGGCTAAAAGCCAAACCAGTCATCTCAGCCGCCTGTCCCCGTCATATCCGCCCAACACGGCTCCGCTGTAACCCCAGACCGGGCCCTCCGACAGGTCCCCACCCCTCTCACCATGGTCAGCACGTGGGTCAGCTTCCTCCACTCGATAACGAGGTCAATGACCGGGTGCAGGTGGCGGATGCGCAGCAGGGCCTCCCGGTTGGTGGGCAGCGGCCGTCCGCGGCGGGTGCGCGGGCCGCGGCCGCTGCGCCGCCGCCGGGACAGCGCTGGCTCCTGGATGTCTGTCCCCGGGTCCTGACCGGGGAGCTCGACCGGCTCGGCCGGAAGGCCCAGCTCGCAGAACAGCAGCTGAGGAAGACAGGAAGATCGGGTCAGACACACACGGGAGGCAAAGCTGTGACACAAACGGTGGGTTTGAGGTCAGGCCCTGACAAGTGACGGGGACTAAATATAGGATAAGCAGGGGATACAGAAAAAAGCGTAGATGACAGATTTGCGTCATTAAAATGGCCACTAGAAACCAAAACAAGGCACCAGCTAGGATGCAAGGTTTCACATAAAAATAATATTTACATTTGGCATGACTCCAGCTGAAAGTAAACTCGAGCCTATCAACTAGGCAATATACACACAAGAAAATACAGATCAAAATTCGAACTAGACCCACACAGCAATCTCGAAGCTGACCACGACTCGATGTGAAACCGGAGAGCAATCTCAGTGAGCCAATATTAGCCGACTGATGCAACACTTTCAGTAGAACAGCTCAATATGACACGCACAGCTAAAATAACTGACTAGCTCCAAAACGAGCACTTCTCAAATCAGGATCCGGTTCGAGTGTCACACCTGACACGACTCTGGCTGACGGAAGGTGTCATCGCTGTCATCGAGTGTCGTTCGTTGACATGTCACGGTAGATGACATGTCACGAGACACGATAGCTGACACGAGCCAGTCACACGAGCTCACCGCCAGTAATATCGATTGGCAAACGATTCTCCGTCGAATGGCTCGGATGCCCGGGGTATTAGCGGGATATCGATCAAAATCAGGGACAATGTCATATTTTAAGTTATGCTGCTAACAGAACTGCGACTGTGCAACTCGGACGGTATGTGGAAAACCGATAGGTACGACGAGGTTAAAATCAGTGTTCCAGCGCAGCAGAATCCCTATTGATATATGGAAATTCATCGATTGGTGTGCTGAATGGGTGACCAAATGTCAGTCCAATCAGGCCAGCCATTGTGCAACTATCGCAGGTGGAGTTCACTGTTGTTACGCTCCTGACGCAGCGTGTCCCACGCTCCACAAACATCACATATGTGCATCAAGAGGAAAATAAGTAATTGTCAAAACAAGGGAGGCATAAATCACAATCACTCGGCTTCAACTGAGGCACCGTTTCCTTTAAACTTCCACCGCGGACTACGATGTCAGTAATAACCACCTTTAGCTCGCTGGGTAAAAAAAAAAATCACGCAAAAAGCGTGCTTTAGGGAGCATCGCCAAGCCAGTTGTCCATGGATACAGGTGTATAATCTCCCCAATTTGCCAATCACTAATTTCCGCTTGCGATACTGGGGCTCCTGGCACGGCAACACATGAGACAATAAATGGCAATATGTGCAGCATTCGATGCCGCATCACGATGAAGACCGAGCATAAAGCTGAGATATTGCGACGCAATAAGATATCGGAGACGTATGCCTGACATGGTCTGTCACCTCGGAAGAAGCAATGAGGCGAACATCGAGTGGCATTCTACAGAGCAGCAGTGCAGAGCCAATAGTGCACAGCCACCGGAGACAGGCCGAGGAAGCGCACATGATTGAAATCGAATAGGATAAGAGTGCAGACAAGCAGAAGCAATAACGTGCATAAATAGCTAAAATAAGTAAGAAACCACGCAGATAAACGTCGGAGCTGAACCAAAAGGTCATCAATAAGCACAAAAATATGGACATGCGTGTGCGTGTTGCGTGACATGGAACTCAGATGCAGTTCGCCATGTTGGGACAGTCTCACCCGTCCGACGTCGGCTGCCGAGGCGAGGCTGACGCGCCTGCCGGCCAGCCTGTGCGCCTGCCGCTCCAGGTCGGCCCTCAGCCTCTGCAGCAGGCTGACCTGTGCCTGCAGGCGTGCACCATCCACCGGCATCCCTGCCTGCTCCAACACGGCCAGCGCGGCGGCCAACGGCATCTCCACGTCTGCCGGACACAGGGCCAGCTGCTCAGGAAGGGAGTACATATACGCGGTTTGCTGAACAATGTGACTGCGGCATTGGTGGAAATCAGGGTTGGCAAATTTATGCCAGCAGCCGGTTTAAACCGGTTTAATCCATGGATTAAACCGGCTGGCATAAACTAATTTAAGCCACCCCGGTTTAAACCAGTGTGCACCAACATAATAAATGCCACTTACGTTAACTTGTCGTAACATCACTTGGGTTAAACTGCTTCTTCTCTTCCCATTTTCTGTACACACCTTTCAATTATACATGCTAACTTGTAATGTTTTTTTTCCTGGGGGTTAACTTATGTCATTCATTATTGATCTGTATCACCCTGCATCAAATGTTTATTTTGATTTGCATAGGTGGTTCATGGAATGAAAAGTCTTGGAGACAGCTTCAATAAAGAACCCAATTTCAATTTTATGAGAAGCTGTAGCAAACATGACCTAATGCCAAATGCATGGTGCAAGGATCAGTGAATGGTAAGGCCCTAAGAACTATCATACAGAACATTGCCTATTTACTAGGGAACTGTCTATTGCTGAAGCAGTCAGTGACACTAAACAAAGGAATTGGCAGCACGGCCACCATTATAGGCTCCAAAGTTAATGTAAAAAACAATAATAAGTGTGATTAGTTAGGGACACTGTTATACCAAGAAAACAACATGCGCTACCTGAAGAAAACAGAAACCATAGGAACATTCCAGAAGATTTATAAATGATGAGTTGTTACAATGGTTTGCTGTGCAATTAACAAAAAATCACATAATGGGTGATACCATGATAAATAATTTTTCTAGTGTTACTGGCCCAGTCCCCAGACGATTGGTCAGAATACATTTTATATGTAAAATAAAGTGAGACTTTCAACTGGTAAACCGAATGTTAAGATTAGAATGTGCTTATGCCTTATACCTACTTTGTTTCTTAGCTTAATTACCTACTGACCAGATTATCAACATAATCACATGCCAAAATGTTGACATAATACCAAATGACACGGCATTGACTTCCTGCACTCTGCACAGTCACCAACGAGTACACTGACCCACAAGATAAGTTATAGTAGATGTTTTAACTGAAGGTGGTTTTCATTAATTTAAGCCGGTTTAAACCGGTTTAAACCGGTTTAAACCACTGGCTGGCATAAATTCAATTTAAGCCGGCTTTTATCCAACCCTGGTGGAAATAATGAGTTGTTGACTGTATGTTTCAATAAAAGGGCACGAACCAGTATATACTGGTTCGTCCCCTAAAAGGCGTCGTATGACGCCTTTTAGGGGTGACAAAAAGGTGATCGAGAGAGCGCACCCTGTTCGTGCAGAAGACGTACGAGAGGATGTTTCTAACAACTTGTGCACGGTACCAACCTTACTAACCGGTGTCGGCATGTGGCACGTGCATTAGAGGTCACTACATGCATCGGGAAATTGGAATAGTCATAGGTACTTGGTAGAATCACCCGTCCGTCGTTTCCATCATCAGGACATTCAAATCCTTTTCCTCCATGCCGCAACCCTCGATCCGGGCTGGACAGACAACTTTATCTTATGCGGGCTCCTCCCTAGGAGGGCATTGCTGCTCCCGAGAACACATACGGTCGGCCTGTCCCTTCGGACGGGCTCAGCCCTGGTGACTTTCTAGGGTGTCTACTCAGACCAATGTCTCCCCCTAATTCCTACCATCCTTCCGGCCCTGAAATGATCTTGTCAGACCGAAAGGACCTAACCCAACAAAACAAACAATAAACTTGGTAGAATGCATGAAGGTACCCACAAAAAAAGATCGCAGATGAATCGGTCCAGTGGTTGCTGAGATATAATCCTCGCAGAAGCGTGACCACGGCCGGATATTCGGAAAGTTCCGTTATTCTACGAAATACTTAGCTTTGCTCGCTCGCTCTAATCAAATCAACAAGCAAAATATTCAGAGATGGAGGTCGAGCAATGCTTTGCACGAAGCTAGCTTTGGAGCAATTCATATTCGCACAGGCACGGATTTTGATTCAATATTATTCCATTGAATTGAATTAAACCTGAACCCCAAAGTTCTGAGGTGAATGATGATGGTCGGATCGAACGACCATGATATTCGTAATATTACGCAACTATGTTTAACTCAAAAACATTTGCTTGGCATGTTTCCCAATCCCTTGTTCCCGTTCACTCTCTAACACCAATCCATGTTTCTGTGAAGCATCGCGAGACAATACAGTTAAGTAATTTACTCAGACATCATTCCCGTCCAGACTGACGGCTGACGCAAAACAATGTTTGCCGGGTACTCTGCGTTGCGTAACGGTCAGGCTGTGCTCCCTCTCCCCATGGTATCTGTTTCCCAGCTGCATCCGGTGGCGGACAGTCCCGCACCCGCGCCTCTGAGTGCTCAGTGCGGTAGCACCCATCGGGCGCCGATGGTAGGCCGGTCAATTAGGCCCTGACGCCCGCAATTAGACGCACCGAGCCGCAGGGGCCGGCCGGCCGGGCCCGCAGGGACACAGTGCAAAAACCCGCCACACCGCAGCCGCGCGCCGCCCGGATAAGGCGATTTGGCCGGCGGCCGAGGCGAGCAACAGGCGCCGCGTGAGAGTGTTTGTTTCTAACCGCCCGTCCAATCAGGGCTGGAGGCTGGCCGCCCGGTCACTTGAAATGGTTGACACGCACGCTTTTCAACGCGCCGCGTGGTGAAGCAAGCGTAATCCCAGAATTCAATTTGAGCAGCGGCAAAGAAAAACGTGTGGAACCCCACAAATACCAAATGCACTCACCAGCAAGCGTGGTAACGCTAATCTGAGTGAATTTGCGAAGGGATTAGGCAACCGACACGAATTACGTTCAACACTTCCGTAAAACAGAGTAGAAATACCGGAAGCTACAAAGTCAGCGACTTTGATCCGCGTCTTATCCGATAAGACGGAGACCAATTACTATAAATGAAAATAGCGCATTTGTTTGTGTTTGTCGCATTTGTTTGTCTACCCCTAAACTTTAGCACAGCCGATGCCTGAAACCATACGCTGGGTAAACGCTCGTCATAAGACATTAGTGAGGCGGCACGCGATATGGACAAACACATTTACCTTAATGGCTCCGAAATCACACACATCATCAGAGCTACAATTATGTATCGGGCCATAGGGTGTGTCAATCTCGTCGCAGCGTATGAAGACGAATTAAATTCCCAGCGTCCGAGCATATCAAGAATGCCCACGTTGGGAAACGGGTTATTATTGGGCTTATATTGAAGGCGCTAGCCAGATGGATAGATACCCAAGGGCTGATGAATACCTAAAACAATATTCGTTTCTTCATCTCTATTCTTTATGAATGAGTATAGCCCTCAAACGGTAATAACATCGGCCGTACAATACACTAAAGCAACAAGTTTTATTATCAGCATTAACCCTCGCCCGTATTGGTGTTTTTCCAGCCGCGAACGTATAAGGGGGGGGGGGGGGGTCCGTTGGACCCCCCCTTGCCGTTTTGCCCCTGATCGAGCTAGAGCTTCGCGGAAAAAAACGAGCGTGTTGCCCGTGACGAGAGGAAGCCGATGATACCTAATTTTAAGGTCCTAGGTCATTGGTTGACCTTGCAGGTCAGGTCAATGACCCAAAGGTCGGAAAATCGGGACCTGTTAGAACGTCGTAAAGTATGGCTGCTATGGGGTTTTCCGGGGCGCTGATCACGAATATCATGTTAGTTATGATCACAGATGATGTCTTTATGCATTTAGTCCAGGTCGGGTCAGGTCAGGTCAGGTCAACCAGTAGGGGTCCTGCCGGGTATTCCTAGTAGGTGTCAACCGCCTCTGACAGCTTCGTAACATGTTACGAAGGCACCAAAACTACTTCGTAAATGTTCATATGGTTGCTAAATTCGAATTCAGCTCCAAAAACTGGCCTAGAAACATGTAAAACTCGAAAAAGTGAACCGAGGTCACCAAAGGTCAATGACCTGACCTGACTTTCAGGTGACCTTGACACCCACCCTAATGCATGGGGGCAACATCATATGACATGTTTGAACGCTTGAAACCACGAAAAGACTGCAAACGCGCGGCTAATGCGAGCCGACATACGCCGAATCGCGATTCCGGCCAAATATGGTCTCGAAAAGTAGGTCACAGGTCAAAGGTCATTGGGGTCAGGGTCATGAAATTTTCAGGGTAGGTGTAAAATTGATTAACGCGAGGGTACTGAAAGTTTCGTCGCGATCGGCCGCTTTTTACGCGAGTTATTCGCGAAAAACCATGGGGGGTCCGTTCGATCCCCCCCCCCCCCTATACGGGCGAGGGTTAACTAACATTTCTGATACATAGGCCGCCGATTATTTTGAAACCAACCCGCTGGGATTCAAATGAAAACAAATACCAGCCTCTCGTGCAGTTTAGCTACAATTGTATTCAGCACACTCAATGAATTCAAATGAGCAGTTATCGGCAAAATCCCCACTCGATGGTCCGGATACAGTTTAAACCTGGGAGCACTGAACTGAATGATGCAACTGCCGCCTAAGTTTGTATAGCAGCCTGGGAGCCGCGCAGGCGGTGTTCAATCATCCGCGTTCACTGGGTACTGTTTCATCAGGCATTATGTAATATGTATAGCAGGACTATGTTTAATGAGGAAGTGTTAGTCAGTGGTTACACAGTCTGCCTGTGGCCGGGCTATAGTAGGAGTGCGAGTGTGATGAAAATGAACTGGAATGCTGGGCAAGTGGGGTGCCAGGTCAGAGTTTGGGCCGATTGATCACCGATGCGCAGTAATAACTCAGCCAGTTCGTTATGTAACTTTCTGACAGGGAAGGCCTGGGTTAGAGGGAATTAGTCCATTATAGGCCGGATGAAGGGTGACGAGCAGCTGAGTGTCAGCCGTGAAGGTTTATCATTGATAAACTACATCGTCGACAGTTTCTTTATAGTCGCCTTAAGTTTATTTATAGGGACGACCGCTTGAGTAAAGCTTGGATAGGTATAGATTCCAGTTGACATTCAACAAAAAGGTAAAAACACGACAAGCCTCATCTATAAATTGGCGACCTTTTGTTGCTAAAATGTTATGTGTAACTGGACCGATAGGTTCTGCTCTCAGCAACCAGTACCAATAATCCCATTTCCACCGGTGCAGCTGCTGACCTGTGAACGCCGCCCAGAGTCCGTCCTGCTTCAGTCGGTGTTCCAGCGAAGTCATCACCGTATCGGTGAGCAGCGCCGCCGCCACTGCCATCTGTTGGCCGGGGCCCGAACTGGCAGCCGCCACCAGGTGGCGGTCGGGCAGCAGCACCCTCTCAGCCTGCACCCGAGAGGAACGAAAAGCAGATCATAACCCCAAAACACACGTTACGCGTGTTGACATTTAGTTTTCGACTGGGAAATAACACGCAAGACCCAGGAGGATAAAGCTTAGAATGTATACGATAAAAATCAAGAAGAAACATTTTCCCTGATTTAAGTTACTGAGTCATGTTCTCAGCCATCGATCAATGTTGAGTACGACACTCTCCACCCCATTCCCATCCCCGACTATCCCTGATCCAACTCCTCTCCTCTGTAATCCCATCTATCCCCTCCTCCCTCACTGACCAGCTTATGCAGCGGCAGCTCCTCGGTGGCCGGGTCCAGGAGCCACGCGGCCACGGCCGGGTCCCTGAGCTGGGCGGCAGCCCGGTCCGCCAGCTCGGGAGGTAGCAGCGCCAGCCAGCGCCGGCAGCGGTGGAGGACAACGGTCAGCTCCGGGCGGGACAGCAGCGCCGACAGCCACGACCGGCACTCTACGGGGTAAGAGCCGAGGTACGGGGGGGAGGAGAGGTGTGTTAGAGATTGAAGAGGGCAGCACCATGCGATTTACATAATATAAAGCTGATAAGACATGCATAGGAAGTAGTAGCCAGGTAAGTCTCAGTCTTCGGAATCCAGAGATCCAGAGATATTACCCTGGTCTTACTTTTTTAAATCAAAGGTAAAAAACGTTTAAGACCAGGGTAATATCGTGATTGAGTTTAGCTTCATAAACGTAATACCGCTTGACGCTTTCTGAAGCAGCACCGCGCCGCGAACATCCACGCAGCCCCACCATCAGACCGTACCACGGATACCGAGGATCCGTGGCGCTTCTACCACGATTACTGACCTGCACTGAAGCCGACCGTCTCCAGTGAGACAAAGAACGCCCTCTGATCGGGGCCGAGCACGGCGAGACCGGTCACCCGTGCGCCGTCGCGGAGGGCGAGACCGGCCGGCTGGGAGCGGTGCCGGCGCAGGGAGGCTGAGCGAGAGGTCACAGAGGTCACAGGGGTCACAGCCGGGCCACAGAGGTCGCACAGGGGTCAGAGAGGCCACAGAGGTCACACAGGGGTCAGAGCCGGGCCATAGAGGTCACAGGGGTCACAGAGTCGGGCCACAGAGGTCACAGGGGTCAGAGACGGCCCACAGAGGTTAATCACGGTCAGATAGGTAACAGGGATTTAAACCTCGCCTGTATTGGTCTTTTACAGCGTCTTACGAGTAAGAGGAGTCAGAGGAGTCAGACGGGTCGGAGGAATCAGGAGTCACACAGGTCAAATTTGGTCAGGGTTATGCACGGTCAGGGTCATACAGGTCAGTGCTCTGGTTGAAAGTAGAAATAGCAGATGAGATGTTAAACAGAAAGCTATGTTACTGCGCGACAGGAAGGGGAGCGGGATGCAGCACCGGTCATTGATTACACCTGACCGGTGTCCGGGGATTTCCGATAGAACACCGAACACTGATTATGCTCCTGCTACGTGCTCATCAATAGATTAACGTATTCTTTGCTGACTGTAAAACTGCCACATGCATCATAATCCTTTGTTTATTCGTTCCTAGTCCTGGCCATGAAGTTCAAGGACGGCATCTAATTCATATTTAACCTTGGCCGTCTGTTAAAATAAACGAGTCGCCTCTTCGTCCTTTCACTGAACATCCTCCGCCTTCGCATTCCAGAACTACTGGTCTTTTTCAGTCGTAAGTATTTCCTTCCTCCCTAGTACACAATAAATCATTGCAAACATGTTCATTTTTCCATGACCCCTCCATATCCACATTTCTTCATGTACCAAAACCATGCATTGATACATAAAAGAATCCCCTTATTCCCCTCTCCCTCGAGAAGGCCCCTACCTGCTCTGGGCGTCTCTCGCTCCACCGCCAGCGCCAGGCAGACGCGGCGCCACCGGCCCAGGGAAGCCTCCTTCAGCTGACACCAGTCGGCGCCCGGTCCGCTGACTTCACAGACCTCCGGCCACGCCGCCGGACCGCCCGTCCCCCGGGGAACGATACAGTCCTGTCGGACCGCGGCCGGAGTCCGCTGGGGTTCCGCCGGGGTAGGGGAGGTGGGTGGAGGGAGGCCAGAGCCCCCACCACCCCTCCTTGTCGTCTTGGTTGGCTTGGAATGTTGGCGATTGGAGTGAGGCGTACGAGTGTTCTGAGTTTGGTCTTTGCCTTTCGATGGCAGGCGCTGCACCGATGTTAACGATTTGAGACCGGGCTCGAGATGTCCTGTGCGAACTGGTTCTGTCACTCCAGCAGGGCTGATGCGTTTGCTGCTACGACACTCCTCACCAAACAGCGGCGAGGAGCTGGGACGCTTGGCCGGCCGGACGGGAGCGGGGGTGACCGCCAGTGGGGAGATCACCTGGGCTGGGGAGGTATTGGACTCTCTGGAGTGCCGTAGCAATCGGGCACTGCGCCGAACTCCAGAGTCGGCCGAGAGACGAGCATCGTGATGTTCGCTCGACTGGGATGCAGCAGAGACTACCTGTTCCTTGGTGTTTCGGGCAGGAGAGACGTTCTCCTTGAAACTCAGCTCGTCCAAGTTGAGCTGTTCTACGGTAAACGCGTCTTCAAACATGGCAGAGGTTATCAGATTTGAGCCCATGCTGTCTCTGGCAGACTTGAAGCTGGCTTCGTTCTTATTCGCTGATGCCATTTGATCATATCGAATCGAGATCTTCTTCGCGCTCTGCGTCTCATCAAAACCAAAGTCGATCTCCTCTGAGTTGACTGGGTAGATAACGATGCTGCTCCTGTTTGCTGAACTCACACAACTCTGGTCTGACCTTGCGGCTGACATATTCTGTCGCGGGGTAACCTTCTTTCCCGTGCTGCCGAGCCCGGCCGCCGACCGCGAGTCGATCTCGAAACTGTCGAACAGGTCTGTGTTGGACTGGGAGGAGAAGTTCAGGGCTTCATTGTCCGACAGACGGTGCCTGCCGCGGCCGGCGGAGGCGGTAGCTGAGTCAGGGGTTGGCCCAGGGGTCACTACCGTGGCCAGAGGAGGGGCAGGAGTAGCGAACAGGTCACGAGGCGGGACAGGTCCTGGTGTGACGGCGTGGGAGCTCCGGAGCTTGCCCGGCTGTGGTGTCGATTCCGCTACAGCTGCCGAATTTGTATTCAATCCGGCAATAACAACGTGCTTGCCAGTAACAGTTGCAGTTGTTTCAGTAGCTACAGAGCTAGCTAACGAGCAAGTTCCTGCCGTAGCAGTAGTTCTTGTCGAAGAAACCACGGCAGAAGCTCCAGTGGTAGTGACAGCTCTAGACGAAGTGGCCGCAACAGACGCAGCAGCAGCAGCAGCAGCGGATCGGGTACGCAGCGCCGGTGATCTCGGACCGTCCTCTGGTGACTCGGCCTGCAGACACGGTGACCCGGCGCCGGTACCGGCGGTAGCTGGGGTCGAACCCTGTCCGCGCCGCCGGCCAAACAGGGCGTGCGAGAGCCGCCTCCGGCGCCGCCGGCGCTCGGCACTGGTGCTGTTGTACCGCTGGGCGACTGATGGTGGTATAAGATCACCACCCTGGTCAGCGGAAGGATGGTCAGAGCGCTGGGCGGCAGGGGTCGAGAGGTTCGTCTCACCGGCAGGCGGTGGCCGGGAGGGCTGAGGTGGGATGTGACTGGGCTTCTCAGCAGGCTGAGATTTGGGCTCAGAGTGGGTAGACGAGCTGGGCTTTGCTTGGGCGTCGGACGATGAATTGTTTCCGGACGAAGGTTTGTGCCCAATGCAGGGAGCCTGATCAGTGGATGGTTTAGACTTATCCGTTCTATCCTCTGCTTTAACTTCTGGAGAATGACCGCCTGACTTCACAAGCTTCTCAGTAGCCATCAGCTCACCAGCAGGATTGCTGGACGGTCTGTCCAGGGAAGCGAAAGCACCAGAGGACGACTCAGTCCGGGTAACATCCTTCGCTGGCGGGATCTTCCCACTACCCGCACTCCCATGGTCTCTCCGGCTCGCTTCACTGTCACCCTCGTCATCACTACTCGACTGAGAGCTGTCCCCGTCCAGCACAGCCTCTCCGGTGCCCCAGGCGATGCCGGTCATGCCGAGGTCGCTCTGGAAACGAAGAGAAAATCCGTCAGATCAAGAATTCGCAACGTGATATTAATCTAGAGAGTCAGCATGGTGAGTTAGTAAAATGTGACAGCAGCAGATAGCTTACTGTTAGCCACATCACATAACAAACTGAGATTTTGGATGATATCTTCAGATCAAACCACATCCCAAAAAAACTCTCAACAGGTGATAATATCTTTGAGAAAATGTCGAACGTCGCCCCTCACCTCCACCAGTTTCCTGGCCTCCAGCACAATCTCCCGCGCCGCCTCCGCCACGGGGATGTAGCGGCAGCCGTCCACACATATCTGGGTGCCGCCGGAGACGGCCAGGAGGGCCGGGTCCGCCTCCTCGTCCGTGGCACTGCAGTTAGGGCGGGAGGGACGGACGACGGTTAGATGGGGTGGTGATGAGAAGGGTCCAGTCCACTAGTCTTGGTGCAGGTGAAGTGAAGGTGGGTATTCTACGATCAACTTTTTCATATTTGCTCTATAAAGTTCAGAATTAATAAATCATAACAAAATAAATAAGAAAAATTCGAAGTCGTGAACATCCATATGGGAGAAGCTTTAGTGGACCCAGTCACACACGATTGTTGATACCTTGTTACCAATTAAACGCATACATTCCCACGTCTTAACGAATATCTTTTGATCTTCTTAGTCCCTACATCACCACATCATAGACCATCCCAGGGCGACCGCCTTCTGACCTCTGGAAGGGCGTGGCGTTCCGGAGGGCGGCCTCCACTCGCTGTGCACTGCTGTTGGCCACCTGTATCAGACGCTCCATACCGGCGCGGCGCAGAGCGCGGGCGCGCAGTCCATTCACCAGCGAGAGGCGCACCAGGGGTACCAGCTCCGGGGGTACGCCGAACTCGAGCCGCGACTGGAACTGGTCCAGCAGCAGCTCCAGACACCGCCAGCCCAGACGGCCGCAGAACGACGTCACCATGCCTGGACAAGCAGAGGGAGCGTCATATATCGACACCTTTTTTTAAACCTCACATTTGTTCTCCCGTGAAGTTCAGACAAGTTGTTTAGAAACCTTCAAAAAAGGTATAGTCACTCGATTTTTCTCAAGTTTGTCTGTCTTGGCAGATCAAGCAATGCCAGAGCAAGCTCACGAACACACAATTTTGATCAGGATCGGACGATTGGACACTTCTAAAAAGAGATCTTTCGTGCTTCCCGGAAATTCACAGGAGAACAGATGTGGGGTTTAAAAAAGGTGTCGATATATGGAAACGGATGAAAGCAAAGACGAAATTACCAAGCACTTCAAGCTACCGCGCACTGCTCACGTCAAATGAGATACAAGTGGAGAAAGGATGATGGCGTTTGCACACATGCAAAGTGATGCAGAAACACGGACAATCAGAAGTGAAATTGAACATTTGTTAGCGATAGCTCCATAAACATCATATTTAGGATTTGAGCAATGAAATTCACCAACAGGTTCACGCCGACCAGTTGAGCATCAGCAACAACTATCCAGCCACAGCAATGTCGACCCATACCGGCGAATGTGGCGGCCGACTGCTGGAGCGCCTGCAGCGCGCCGCGGTTACAGCCGAACTTGTCGGCCGTCCTGCGCAGCGGCGCCCCGTTAATCAGCTCGTGCAGCGCCAGGGCGGTGTAGAAGCGTTTGTGGGAGACTAGCTGAGCGGCCTGGCGGGGCTGGCGTGGGTTCACCGTCCCCTTCAGCGCGCGCACGATGAACCGCTGCTCGACCGAGACCAGCTCGGCGACACGCCGCTCGGCGGCCGGCAGCGCCTCCAGCATGGTTAGGTAATTCAACCAGTCCATCTGGGGCCAGAGGTCGCCGCAGTAGACCGGGGTCACCTGAGGGAGGGGAGGGGTACCTCAGATATTCCATCTGGGGCCACAGGTCCCCGCAGTAAACCGGGGTCACCTGAGGGAGGGGGTGGGGGTAACTCAAACAGTCCATCTGGGGCCACAGGTCACCTACGGGAAGGGAGGGGTAACTCAAACAGTCCATCTGGGGCCAGAGGTCGCCGCAGTAGACTGGTGTCACCTGAGGGAGGGGGAGGGTAAGGGGCAAGAGAGGAGCCACACGGGCTTCTTGGAGAATAAGGGGTTATCTACTTAAACATGCATGGAATGCATGGAGCATGAAATGAAACGGTGTTCAGGCCACTCTTAATCCAATCCGGAAAGGCTTACTCAGGACGTGTTGGTAATAGTAGCAAGGTCAGCAGCACACCAGCGGGCAACTCCCACTCATTTTAAGCATAACTTCCCAGTTGATCGTAACATCAGATACCTAATGGGTGCCGTATCGTAGAGTGATACGACGGTCAAGGGCAGATATTACGCACAGCGCTGGAATTGCGGTTAATTACTCTCCTTGATCTGGAAATTCTGGCCAGAGTAGGGAAAATTCCGACATGCCTCAGAAACCACACGCACGCAAAAACGTGTTCATAATCACCGATCTTTACACCGATACAACTGGCATGGCAATGAAGTGGACATTCTTAAATTAACGATATCATATTTTCCTTATTTGACGAGTGTTAGAAAGGCAGGTATTTGATTCAGTTCTAAATGTGCCACAGAGCCCTCCTTATTCATTCTCTTTCCTCTATAGCACGATTTCGTTCCACTTGGCGACAGGCTTTAGGAAGTGGCCGGTTATATTAACATCTCGTACTTCCGTGTCGTTAGTTCAACAGTGCAATGAATAATCACGGTGATATTGCAGTAATTCGTTCCTCCAGCACAGGTTTTTCAAAGGTCACCCCATGTTCATAGTCAGTGCCAGCTCGTGACTATCGTGCTTGCTTTGCACACAAGATAAGCATCACGACTAAGATCAGATCGGGCCTGCATATTGCAGCTCTCACCCACTTACGCTCCTTGACAATGAAACACAAACAAAACACGGGGATATGACACAGACTTGGGTCCGTCTCCAGACCAGCCCCGTTCCTCGCCACGACCCATCGGCCCAGTAACGGACCCGACTCCGCCAGCGGTGTCAAAAACCCCGAGCGCACAAGTACCCAGAACTGGATCAGCTCTTCACAGCGTCCGATGCCTATCATATGACAGCAGAACTATTCATCTGGTGTGCCGCCCACGTATATACCCATCTGATATCCCGGAACCACGAAAACTGAATACAATGGGGAAAACACAAACGTCCTACATGGTTTAACGGCGATGCAGACCAGGGTGTGACTTGTTCCCGTCGTCGGTACGAAGCAGAAAAAGACGAACAACTAAAAACGATGTGTTATCCCATCTCATTCAAAACTCCACTAACAGGCTTTCCCAAACCTAGCGTCGTTTCCGCAGTGGTTCGTCCATACCAGATAGACGAGATGCAGCTCCGACTCCAGCACGAAGCAGCGTCTGGCTCTCTGCAGCTCGGCAATGACGGCCAGGGAGTCGGCCGGTCCCAGGGAGGAGGCCAGCGCCGCCGAGCCGAGCTGGGTGGCAGACAGAGAGCCGTCCTCAGCGCACCTGGAACAGAGAGAGAAACAGGGAAGGGTTAGAGCTAAAAGGACGAAAGGGTAGAAATGGTCACGGGAGGCTAGATTGGCCAGATGAATTGAACTGAGGGAGCTGCCTGCTGCAATCAGCGCACCTTGCGAGACGGGGAACAAGACAAAACGGAAAAATGACGGTTATGTCTGTCGGCAGTGGTCGCTTTTTGGCGCCGTGACTATTTAACAGCTAACTGAGAGAAGGGTCGCTGATATTCGTTCTAAAACTACTGAAGGAAAAAAACGAAGAATATACATTCTTGGACGATACCGCGAAAACGAAATATTTCTATCGAGAGTTTTCAAAGGATTTCATGCACGAGGCCTTGGAAAACTCGAGATAGAAATATTTCGTCGCGGTAGAGTCCTAGATATTATTTCCTGTATGTTTCTTAATATCGCTCGTTATCTGCTTAAAAAAGGCCGAAATATGCATAAATAAAATACAGTAACATTAACTACACGTTAGGTACTGAAATACTGGCAGTTCTAATTACTTAACAGTGCAGCAAAGCTTACAAATTTTCTTTAAAACAGAAGCCCTCGATGAAATCAAGCTATCCAAGAAAACCATCCAAGAAAACGTCTCGCGCAAAGTTTCTTGGATGGCTGGATTGCATTGCAAGACTGCATCAAACATACAGGAAAAAGATCCACTGATCTACACTGAAAACAATTTAACCCAAGGCCCGCGAGTAAACCGGTGTTTTGCGGGTACCCCTATCTGCAACCATTTTTAACCACCCTCCCAGGAGTACAGTAAGGTCCCATTGCAGTGTAGTCGTCCCTGCTCTCAGCCGACTTGTTCGCTGACAGCGGTTTTATCCGCTCAGAGCAAGTACGACTACACCGCAATAGGACCTAGCACTACTCCTGGGAGGGTGGTTAAAAATGGTTGCGGATAGGGGTACCCGTAAAACACCGGTTTACTCGCCAGCCTTGGGTTAAATTGTTTTCAGTGTAATAATAAATTCATGCCATTGGAAAATACGTAGTGGTTCCGGTACCCATCACCAGCATTCGGCGTAAAATTTATACACTAGCGGGTCACAGGCTTTATGCATATCGATTTATCTTAGCACATCTGGGGCCGTATTCACGTCGACTTCGTAAGTCGATTTTCTTTCGTAAGTATAATTTGGTATTCACGTCGACACTTCGTAAGTTTTTATCGACGGAGTTCACGTGATTAAAAAAATTTACTTAAGAAGTAGGTCAAACTTAAGAAAATTCTTACGAAAATGATCGACGTGAATACGGCCCCTGATATCTTTGTCATATCTGATAAATCGGTCAGATTGGAATGATGTAAGAAGCTGATACACACAGACGCATGCACATCGTGACAATTTCCCACTTTATCCGAGTAAAAATACCCACCGGGCGATCCCTCCGAGACGCTGCGCACTAGGATCCCATCTCACAAACTGTTCTCACCAGCACCGCAAAGATAGCCGGTCCGTGACCGTCAGCTCCGTGACTTACCTGACAAACTCGTGTTCTATCAGCCAGCCGAGACACTCGCCGACTGCTCCGTCCCTCGGTGGTGGTTCCGGGACGCTCCTGGATTGTTCCGGGGAGCTATCCGGGCCATTGGCTGGGAGGGTACAGGAGGCGAACAGAGCCACGTCCTCTCGGCTGCCGGCGACTCCGCTGACAATTACCTGCGGAAATGAGCCGGCGTGAACGGGATCACAAACACGTCACAATACATCCACCGGTCGAAACGGGAGGTCACGTCAACACAGAAAGACATAGGGCAAGCAGATTCAGCCGGCTAGACGGTCTTATGTCATTACAGCAAACATTAGTGTTACATCAGCACGATATGGAAATGAAACGTGCGATCAAATACTAGAACGAATGTTCCTGACTTTTCCATCTTGCTTTCTGCAATAATTCATACTTACATGCTTAAAACAACGTCAGCAGCGTTTGATTAAGAATTTTTCCGGTTTTGTATCTTTTATCAAGTTTATAGCTACAAATCGACGTGTCGCCACTCCCTCCTCCCCTCCTCCTAGCACAAAAGCTCACCTCTAGCACTGCCCACCCGAGCGCGGGCTCAGTGGCTCCCTCCCCCCCCCCCCCCTAGCAAAGCAGCTCACAGCTCACCTCCAACACTGTCCGCCGGAGCGGCTCGGTGGCTGCTCCCCCCCCCCCCCCCGGACAGCAGCTCACCTCCAACACGGCCCGCCGGAGCGGCTCGGTGGCTGCACCCCCCCCCCCCCCCCCGGACAGCAGCTCACCTCCAACACGGCCCGCCGGAGCGGCTCGCTGGCAGTCCCGGATGACGTCAGACAGCTGCTGATCGGAGGCAGGCGTGACGTCATCAGGTGTAGGGCGTTGGCCCTGTCGCACTCGCGGCACACCAGAATGCTTTCTCCTGGTGGCACGCGAGGCAAGGTCGGCCGTGTCATCAGAAACCGGCGATTCACGCGAACAAAAACAAGGAAAGGTCACGTGCGATACCATATCGATGCGTACAACACGGATAAGAGACAGGACTACGGGAAATTGTGCGCCGAATCTGGAGCATAGGGCCCATCAACGTGGTGTCAAGGTCGAGCCGATCGGAACTACTTGAAGCACAATTAAAAAATACAAGGACATGCCAAAAGTGTGATCGTTAGTTGCTAATCGTACAATGTATCGCTTCAGTTCTCGCTAGTCGCTTCGGTTGCAAACATATCGCAAAATAGGAAGAGCCGAATTGCTATCAATTCCGCAAAATAAGCAACTTGTACAGGAGCAGGTTGGAACTATAATTTTCCCCGGTTTTGTACGCATTTTATCCCAGCAATCATCATACATGCCTTAAAACTTTGGTAGCCGGCTTGACAAATGAAAATAATGTCCTTGTAACTCAGGCACAGATACAGCGACGGTCTAAAGAAGTAGCACAAAAAAAGAACTCTGCCTCGACCGTTTGCTGCCTTGATCATCATCAGTGATCAGTGTGATAGCGACCAGTGCAAGGTGACAATTCTGCAAACCGCTCTGACCGATCCGACCAAATATGTGCCACTTGGGTTGGGTAAGCGGTGCCGTCCCGTCTGCGGTAGGCCGCAAAGCCGTCTATTTTTTCTTTTCTTATCTCAAAACAGAGCAATCGATGAGATTCATCTTTTCGTTACAAAAACAGGTGAAGTAAGAGTCGAACTAACGCTAACAAGACACCGCGTACCGAGCATATTGGCAAATCAGGGGTTCTGATGGTCATAAAGCTTGGAATCCATCAAAACAGGTCGTTGACATAACAGACTACGGGAAGATAGCGGTGTGGCCAGTGCATGGTGTGATAATGAGGTAACATCGCTCGGAAAAGTAAAACTTATTCGCGTCTAAAACAAACACTTTAAAGATTTCCAGCTCTCGGACAAACGTGAACACATGATACTAGACATAACAAAAACGACCCGTGGCAGAGACTGATAACCAGCTGAGAAAAATGGGAGAATTACATAATTCGTGTTGAACATATCAGCTCATCAGATCATCTACATATGGAAACACCGACTGCAAACATAAGAGAGCTATCCCATACCCAGCAATGCCAAGGACACACCAGCCAAGCCTTGAACCCTTATCGTTGGCTACGTACAGTTATCTTTTGCGGTACACCAATTCTAAAATAAAGAAGCAAGACAAACATTTGGAAGCGGAGCTATCACTACGATAGAGCCCTGATAGCGATACTATCAAAAGGTTCAATTGCAGTACCTAATGGGCGCTATAATTAAGAAAATAGAAGGTCGTACTGTCTATTCAGATCGGAGCTAATCGACTTGATGCTTAATAACTGATTTAATACATTCTATTTGAGAGAAGAAAAAAAAACTAGCTACTAAAGCGAGGAAAAAAACATGATTTCGTTCCGCCAAATGTCACGTCAGCAGATGCCGTTATAGAAAAAAATTACAATGATCAACATTTTTACATTCACAAGCACCGATCACAAATATAAATCTTGCTTCTTTTCATACAGAATATAATAAAATGTAAAATGACATTATTACGAAATTGTAAGTGCTGCTCACATATGGCGTCAAATACATATTAATAAAATATGACAAGGCTTTCTACAACTACACTACACTGGCTTCCTCTTTTTGATAAACGCACATAGCACTTAGTCACCAATCAAAATACAGGACTCAAGCCAAAAACATAACCCTTGGTAGCATGGAAGGGAAATAATTCATCTCTCATCCACGACCAAGGTGAAAGCTTGTTTAATGTTTACATTTTCGGGGGATTTCAATACTAATGATTTTATTCTTAGACCTTCCTAAAATGATTCTATTCTTAGATCTTCCTAATAATCGAACTTTAAAATATAAAGAGAATTCTCGATCGCGATTCCTCCGGCATCGTTTCAAATGTCAGATTACATCAAAGGTTAAATGACGTGAGCTATCACGTTTGCCCTTCTAGCGGGAATAAAAATGTCAAGGCATATAAGACGTGCACCAAGGCCAGATAAAGCAGGGTAAAACGGTTACTATGTTATTCAAATCGTAAATTGATTGATTAGAAGAGATTGGAGATTTTAAAGAAGGTCTACGCCTGTGTCGCATCTTCGTGATATTATCGTGTCATGTGTCTCGGTGTTGTACCATTTGTGCCTCAGCGTCTCCTTGTTAGTGTAAGTGCCGTACCATGTGTCTCAGTGTCTTATTGTTAGTGTAAGTGTCGTACCATGTGTCTCGGTGTCTACCATTTGTGCCTCAGTGTCTCCTTGTTTGTGTAACTGTCGTACCATGACGTCTGTCGTACCATATTTGTAGTGTAAGCGTCGTTAACATGTATATCGGCGTCGTACCATGAGTGTCCCTGTCATATCGGGCCTCAGCACCATACCGCGAGTGCCGTTGCAATGCCCACCGTACCGTCCTCGTCATCGTCGTACCGTTCCTGTCATTGATGCGCCGTAACTGTCATCATCGTACCTACCTACCGTACCTGCCATTACCGTACCATGATCTTACCATGATCAGTATCGATGCTGTGCAATAAGTGCCACTGCCGTACCGTCCCTGCCATCACCGTACCGTCCCTGTCACCACCGTACCGTGTGTGTCGGTGCCGGTGCGTCCCGCCCGTCCGGCCATCTGCCTGTAGGTGAGCAGGTCGAGCAGGGCGCCTCCCTGCAGCGGGGAGCGGACGATCACCCTGCGTGCCGGCAGGTTCACGCCCGAGCTGAGGGTGCTCGTGGCCACCAGCACTCGCAGCGTGCCGCTCCGGAACGCCAGCTCCAGCAGGTCGCGCTCGTCCACAGTCAGACCTGGCGGAAGGAGCGGTGCCAGTCAGAGGGGCGGGGTCATTAGAACAGGGGATAGGGGGCCAGGGAGGGACATGGCGATAGATCAGTAGGGAGCACTGTCATGAGTGAGCGAAACAAAACAATGCACACGGGACCCGGGGCACGTGATATGGAACATACGGCGCAGGACTGCGACGTCATTGAGGACATGGGACATCATAAAACACAGGACTGACTAAACAGACCCAAGCACCACATCACAGGATACCAGGCACGGGATAAAACACGGATATTGATAAGCATGACCGGAAGCACGAAAGCACGTGTCACAAATACAGAAATTCGTCGGGTTACGCTTGCCGCATCAGAGCGCAGCACCATCAACTGACCTGTTGTCAGATCTAGGCCGCCCACCTCCATCTCGAGTTAATTACTCCATTGGAGCACATCCGGTGACGACAGAGCAGAAGACAGTGACCGTGAGTGCCCCAGCGCTCACAATACGTGTCTACCATACCAACTCCCCGCGCGCCCACCGGATCCGGTCCTGACGCTCGATATCCGTGCTGGGTTCCGTTCCGGTCGGCTGCTCAGCCCGCACGATCGCCCCGTGGCAGCCGCCGCCCCCGGACGCTCGGGTTTTCCTCCCGCCCGGTGAGGCCCCAGTACATCGCGGGACTGCGAGCGGATGCTGACAAAGACGAGTCTGACAAAGACGAGTATTGTTCACGGTTCGGGGAACATAACCTGCGACGGGGCCTCTGTCTGCGTAAAAGACACTCTTATCAGAGCCAGTAGAACTTTTATCAGATCTATCGGTGACATGTTATCGCTTTTTATCATGGAGTGAGACACCTCCCTTTGTCTGGCGCTGGTTGTCCCACTTACGTCCCGCAAACCCTCGGTATTCCCTTGTGGTCCTTTCCCTCTGAACACCTAGAGACACCCACCACTTGCGACCGGTCCACTCTCCACACCTAACTCCCCTCAGCTGCACTTACCAGCGTGGTGGAAGGCCACTCCGAAGGCGATGCTGCGGGCCAGCGCCGGGTCCAGCCCGGCCGGGGTGCGCCGTAGGTCGTCCAGCAGCTGCTGTAACTGCTCTGGGATCAGCAGACGGCGCAGGGCGGTGGCCGAACGCTGCTGGCCGGCCGTCAGGTCCGAGCGGCCCGGGTGACCTGGCGGGAACAGTTAGCAGGGGGCATGTAAGAGAGTGAAAGGTAGCAGCAGGTGGGGCTGAATTCTTACTGATACGACAAACTATGCAAATGAGATAGCGATCCAGCTAGCTGTTGCCAAAACCAGTAGCAATATCAGATGCGGACATAGTTAATGAGTCACCCAACCACAAAACGTCAAACATTAAGAGCTGATCTGATATCAATGGTCCGTTACAGAACTTGGTAACACTAGCATCTCGTTACCAACCAAGCCTACAAACTCAGTCCTCTTATCCATCCCCCACCATCCCCCCAACATAACTCGACAGTCCCGCCACTGACCAAGCCGGCAGAACTCTGCGGCCACGTTGACGGCCAGCTGCTCGCACCAGGCCTTGGTGGGACAGAACACGAGGACACCGTGTCCGGCCGTCACCGTCTCCAGCACCAGCTCCAGCACCAGGTCCGGGTCACTCTGCAGAGGGCAGGGGCGCAGGGCAATGCCACACACTCGAAAATATGGCAGTTTAAGGGTAGACTAGAAGTGACTTGCTATGAGAACAACAAGATAACAAGCGAACATCAATTTGGGGTCGCTCTGAAAATGGAAGACGGTGAGAAAGCATTGCACGGCATAAGCATCGTCCCTTGAGTAGAAGGGATGAGTCACGGACAACAGCGCCAAAGGGTGGAAAAGCGAAATCAAGAATGGGATCACGTCCATCACTACGAGGGGAAAAGACGGAAATGCCATGCCAGAGTTCATGTTCAGGAAAAGATATAATATGTAAATATTAGGTCACGGGCAGGGTATCGTAAGTAGCATATTTTGCATAAATGAGCCCAAAAACACGCTAAAGCCCGGTTCTGACTGCCGAAATCGATCGGAGCGGATGGTAAGCGTATGGTGATCGTATGGTGAGCGTGGCTGGCGGAAAAAGATAAAAATCTCTAGGCCCGATACGATCTGGTAACTGGTAGATCGTATCGTGCGAATCGTGCGTGCATATTTACGTCTGGACAACGAGTTGCGGGGAAAAGTGCTGATTGTGTTGCAGTTTTAGGAGCCGGTGATTAGGCTGGATTTTTGGGTTACTTTTTCGTTCCGATTCATGTATTTCATAGTGTTTGGCTTTTGAATATTTTAGTTCTTTCAGATAAATATTACTTGCCTTACAACTTTTGTAAAAACGTTTCATTTTTTTATAAGCCGACGTTCAGAGTCCTAAAAATACATCAGCACTACAATCATTGTAAACAAACAAATGGAGCACCACTTGCCTCTGTTCCAAGGCCATTTTTTTAGTTTATCTGGTGGTTTTCTTGCTCTTGTACGCCGTTTTGTTGGATGTTTTGAATCCCTTAAGATTGACTTATATCATATTTAAGAAGCATGCTGACTGAAAACAATCTGAAGTATCCAGGAGGCTGACAGAGGTCCTGACTACTGAGCAATATCAATATCAAGTTGAACAAGTTATGAAATTTTGGTTGATAAACGCAAGTTGATCGGGCTCATATATCAGCAAGAAAAAGTAAAATTAAAAGAGCTTATTGTTCAAAAACAATCTATAATATTGCAGACCTTGGAGCAATACTGAAGAGCACGCTGAGCAGGATCATGCCAGAAAATGTTGACTGATGAGCGCATATTGATGTATTGGTATGAATATTGAATGATAACTTACAACAGCAAGATAAATTAGTGCTAACTATCAAGTTAAAATCTAGAATGAATGGACTTGGGCAGTTTTACTATGCTTAGATGCATGCAGATTGTAATGTGCATCAGGTACTCAGTGTCTGGCAAATGAAACATGCGATCATTCCATTGCTACTGGAGGAGAAAGCTTGGATCACTAAATCCACTTAATGTTGATTTTGATGTTAATCATCATCACTGTATTTCTTGAAAAAAGGATTGTAGTAAAATTGTCAATGTGACAATCCATGCAACGATGTGATCATATTATGTGTTCATTGTCATTCGTGATAATATACAATGGCAAAGCTCTCAGTCTCAGCGTTTCTTCCTGTGGATGGCCAGCAGTGACTCAGAGCTTAGAAGTATTAGTTTTCTTCACAGGGCTGGGATAAAAAGTACTGAGGGTAATCTTCCATCAAGCGACCAAGGAACTCTACTTTGACATGGTATGAGATGTAGGCACAAGTAGGTAGGTGCTCAGTTCCTATAGTCAGTAGTTGTGGATGTTTAGTCGGGTTAGCTTAGATCAGATTGTTAGTTTTTTTAATTTGCCAAATGTCCATAAAAATGTGACCTGAGCAATGAGCATACCTGAACCTGACTAACCTGACAGCTGACCTAATCTCAATCATCACACATATTTGCAGCCTACCCAGGACCTGCATGGCAGTAGCACCCAGTTATAGGTAGGTACACACTACACACCCTAACTCAATCTTACCTGCTAACCTTCAACTTGCCAAAAGTTAGCTCACATTGCCAAGCTGTGTCCAGGGAAACAGTCAACTGAGGAACTGGCTCATTGGGTGGCTGGTGTGAGTCTGTGCATTTAAAGTGTTTCTTCTCTGAAGCTGCTCTGCACTGCTGTATGTCATGTTAGATGCTCAGAAAATGTGGGAAATGATTACTAAGCTACTTTAGTGCTTTGTTAATGCTCGAGACATGAACAAGTACAGATCCTGCAGGGTACAGCTATGAGTTAGGTGCTAGGTGAGTATGTTATGTGAATGTGCTGTTCCCTGTTTGACCATAAGTATACAAACAAGCACAGGGTCACAGTTATATTCAATCTCCACATAAACATACAACAAAAACGGCCATATAGCCTAACTCCGAACACACCACAGATAACTTAAGCATTTGAAGGCACAAAAATGTTTTGATTAACAGGACAGGTTTACAATATATCCTCTGTCCTTGGGGGATCTTGCTGCCAAGTTGAGGTATGATGACTGAACTTCAGGATTGATCAACCTTTTCTTAGCCACTGCTTATATACGAGAAAGACCAAATGCTTGTTTGTTTTGATTTACAGGACATGTATACAATATATCCTCTGTCCTTTGGGGATCTTGCTGCCAAGTTGAGGTACGATGACTGAACTTCAGGATTGATCAACCTTTTCTTAGCCACTGCTTATAAACGAGAAAGACCAAATGCTTGTTTGTAAACTGCGTTGAAAATTTAATGGTCCACCTTCAATTCTGACATGAAGGCACAAATGAAATAGTTTCCTCTCCTTTTGGAATACACAAAGCAAAATATTTAATAAATTTTAGCGGATGGACAAGAGCAATTAGCATAGCTTTCCCTCAAGTTAACTTCTGGCACTGTTGATGATGCACTGACGCTTATTGGCTTCATATTTTGTAACAAACGCGCTAAAACTGCAATATAACAGCACTATATGCTTCTTGACAAAATGCAATAGTATTAAAAATTTAGCCCTGATGGCATTCATTATTGGTGGAAACGTGATTACAAAATATTTTGTAGTAACAATTAAATTCCGGCCGAAAACAGTGCACGGTTTAAAAAAGAATCATTCCAATGACGGTCCATTCTTGCGGTCCTAAAATCGCCACTATTTCCGGCCTCTCCAACGCAACTCGTTGTCCAGACGTAAATATGCATCGTGCGTATGGTTATCAGGGTTACCAAAGCTTGGGATTTGTCCCAAGATCTTGGGATATTGAACCCGACCTTGGGACCTTGGGATTCAACAGCAAACCTTGGGATTTGTCCCGAGCTTACGACTCCCGCTAATTTTAGCACATTTTTTTAATCATTGGAAAAAGGAAAAGTATTAATAAAGACCAAACAAAGGAATCAGGAACACATCTAACACAACTTAATTGTTTGTTTTTTGTAAACCGTCCTTTTTGGACGAACACAACCGAGCGTTCTTTCGTTTGGTTTCACTGTACCTTACCAAGCAACCAACGAAGCACGAATAAGTTATCCTTATTTGACGCGTCTTCACTTTGTTTCTCCCGTCTCAGCTCTCAAGTGAGGCATTTAGCGAAATACCCAGTGGCTTCCGCGTCGATTAACACCTGGCCTGGCCGCCTGTTTGCGAATTGTGACACCCGACGGATCGGAGGCGGATCCAGCTCAGAGTTTTGGGGGGGCAAACCATAAAATTTATCGATTCTTTCCATGCATCGTCCATAGGCGTCCATAATTAACGTCCATAGTTAAAATTATGCCGTTTGGGGGGGGCAAATGCCCATTTTGCCCCCCCCCCCCCTTGGATCCGCCACTGCGACGGATCATGCTTCAACTCGTAAAACCCAGACAGGTAACTTGCTGTGTCTCTGTACCTACCTATGCCTGCGTGTGTAACTGTGCCGAATGCAAGGTATGTTAACGATATTGATTTATTTAGTCAACCAAAGATTTGAAAATACGTCAAATACACTTTATTTGCTCTATATTTGGTTTCTATAGACCTTGGGATGCACACTGGGCTTTGATCCTGTCGACCTTGGGATATGGAGCTCGATTTTGGGAAATTCGCGCGGCGATCTTGGGATTTAGAAAAATTCCCGTTGGTAACCCTGATGGTTATATGGCCTTGGTGCGTATCGTGTGGGAGTCTGCGTCCGCCATTACTGCCGGCGGTGATAGATAAGAACGCAATAAATACTTTTTACGCTTGAAGAGACGTTAAATGTAGTTTAAAACAGCTCTCTAATTCAATAATTTAGTTTGAATAGTCGGGTCTGACTGTTCCGTGAAGTTAATCAACATTTCGGCTTGATTGGAGCAGCATGGCGGCGGAAACCATTCTCGGCCGTGGAAGGTACGCAATTTTGAAAATGCGTGGAAAAATAGAAAATCATGTCAAATTGTCCTGGAAAGTAACCTACAACCTAAAAGTGAGTATTGTGAATGCTGTGCATCGGTTTTCTTGAAAATCGGTTCGTTGAAATTGACAGAAATTCATTGGTAAAATATCTATGTACCACCTCCTGCCACCTCCGGTGTCGCTGGTAAATCGCCGGTCACCGCGAGGCTTGCCGGATCGGCAGAGCGCAGGCGCACAGATGACGTCATCTGGGGGAAGCGCGTTGATTGGCCGCCATGAACGGGACGAGATCTATGAAGAGGGAAATTAATACTTTTCAGACTTAAAAAGAGGTTAAATGTAGGTAGTTAAAATATTTCTTTAATTTAAGTATCAAATTAACATTATCGGGTAAGGCTTTTTCGTGCAATAAAATTAATACTTTGATGTAGGTAATTGACGCACCTGAGCGAAACAATGATTTTTTCGTATGGTATCTTCTAAGTGGAAGTACCTACTTTGATTATAAGTATGTCAATCAAGCTTATTTAAATAAAGTATGCTACTAATAAGATAAGTTATATCAAATAAATATGTTGCACAAACGCACAAACCTTCCACAAGACAGCAGCAAGAAAAGCCGCGCAGCACAGCGAGTTCCCCACACGATGTCAACCTACGATACGATCAAGACAAAAGATAAACTCAATCCATCTTTCGACGGAACGCACTACGACGTACGATCTGCCGCTACCGAACGACGCGCACAGTCACGTAGTTTCCCGGTTCTCACTGCACACATACGATTACCATCGCGGCGATCGGAAAACGGGCGTGCCGATCCCCATCCCATCACCATACGATCACGATACGATCACCATACGATCCACCAAACGATCGAAAAACGGCAGTCAGAACCGGGCTTAAGGCTGCTTACTAAGAAAAGGTGCAATTAACACGTATGCTATTATACCAACACGCAAAGTTCAATCTATAAATATAACGTGGAATAATAAACATAGCGTGGAATACCAAAGCAGCGAGAATTAAACAATGAAGGGTATTTTATCGCAATCAAACCGGCTAAACCAGTGGTAGATGATGGAATTATGACGCATCGGCCAACTGCAACTATTCAAGTTAGCCTAACCGCACAATCGAGTTGAGCAATGGCTCAATTAATTACGAGCGTCGGTTAAATACCACATGGAACTGGGACGTAACATTCTTGGAAACCAGTCCCGAGTAGTATGAGGTTCTCCCCACCACATTTACCCAGAGCTACCGACTAGCCCCGCACCTAAAAGTCACCGGTATGATCCCATGCCGCTCGGTGTAACACCTCACTTATCCTATGGTTGTCTGGTGTGACCCCTAAGTTACGCCAGAATCACTCAGTGTAGTCCCTACCTCACCCCAGATTCTCCCCGGGAGAATTAATGCCCTATTCACTTTAAATTCTTCCAATGTACCCCTCCTTCAAACACTCCAAATTCGCTCGGTGTTACACATCACTTCGATCCCGGATTTTATCGGTGTCCCCCCTTTCTCATTACCAAATTTCCCTGATTTTACCCCTCACTCACCCCGGATCCCAGCGCGGCGTCCACCGGCCTGACGGGCCTCAGCCGCTCATCATACACGGTGCCACCCAGCTTGGCGAACTGCTGCAGCGGCACAGGTCGGAACTCGGTGACGTACAGAGCCGCCGACAGCCAGCCGGCCAGGCCGCCGAGGTTGGGCAGAGTGGCCGACATGGCCACCAACTGGATCCGGCGCTCCGAACCGCTGGAGAAGGAGCAGGCACACGTGATAATGGTGATTTTTTGTGGAGGCGTTGGTAGGGGAAGGGGGCGACTGCAGAGACAATCGCCGCCCATGAACAGACAGACGGCAAGGCTGTCAGACTTCTGTGTAATAATGGACTTAAGCTGGTGGTGGAAACTTTTTAAAGATGTGGCGTTCTTTGGCGTTCAAGAGGGCAATGACTCATGACTATGCGATAGGTATCGTAGCTAGAGGGAACGGATCGCATTCCAACTGGTCTGGTCCAACTAAAACGTGAGATGACATTTCTAACAAAAACAGCCCACAGTTTCCGATCACGGCACCCCGTACGGGCCCGTCCGGTTCCCGACAGACCTGTCCAGGCGACGGTTCATGTAGAGGAGCTTAGTGAGCAGCACCTCCAGCAGGTAACCTCTGCGCGGGTCACCCAGAAGGTGCAGCTCGTCGGCCACAACACAGCCCACCCGGTGAAGACACCCGTCCTCCATCAGTCTGTCGGGGCGGATGAGAGGTCCAAACAGTGAATGAGCGTACGACACAAGCCAATCCCCATGTTCGCTGTGAATAAAAAATGGTGTAATTATACAAACATAGCTATCTGCACTGGCTGTTGTGTGTTGCAGTGAAAAATGGACAAAGTTATTTACATCTATGATTTCGATTTACGATGTTGTGATTGAATGAAGCAACACGAGTGATGGAAATAAGCAATGCCAAATCAATTGCGACTCACACCAGTCACCGCCCTCAACCGCTGAATCGGCTTAGTACATCATGCAATAATGCCCACCTATTCACGAGATTATTGGCCTTTTCGATGGTGCAGATGGCGACGTCGACCTTCTGGAGGCCGCCCGGGGGCGCCTGGCTCCCGAAAAAGCCGTCCACGCGCACACCGGAGCCGTCACAGACGCTCTGTTCAGCGAAGAATTGCGAGTGTAAGAGTATAAATGTCAGGCAGACGTTTGTCAGAATAGCTACGATAAACGCTAATATCACGTGCACAAATGAACATTGAGATCCACAGTCATTCCTATGCGATAGATAAGGGTGATGTAATATTTATCAACGTTCCTGTCAGGTGGATAACTTTTCAGAGCTCATACAGCAGCGGCGAAAATCAATGTGAGCAATAGTGCTGCCACGCGGTCATCGCGTTACGTCAAAACGCGGCTATTTATCAGACAACTCATGATTTGATACGGCACGAAGTGAAACCAAGTTCCGGCTTTGCCATCACTCCTGACAGTAAGACTCCACATTTTGCCCTATAAGCGCATCTCTCAAAGCCGTAATTACGATTGCCGAAGCGCACGCTAGCTCAACGCCATCGCATGTTAGAACGCACCCGCCTTCACAGAGCGGTGCCTCACTCTCGCCGTTGATACGTGCGGGAGGGAGATCTGATTCCATTTCGGGATGGGCGTGTCTCAGTGTGTGGTAGGGAAAGTAACGTTGGTGAGAGTCGCGTGAGCACAACGGGGGTGGCTGAACGGATCACTATCTGAAGAAGGATGCGGGGCTCACCCACACCACTGTCCTTCAGCAATGTCGAAAATAGAGGGTACGTAAGCATATTACAACGGGATATCCGTGAGAAAAACCGAGCAGGTACGTATTCATCCGCTCCCAAAGTTTTTCTGACGTAAGTGAATCCAGTCTCAGACGCACATCCACGGGCAGAGACTAGCTGCTCACTGCACAGCTTAGCATGAGGCGGTGAGAGGAATATCACAGACGGTTTATCTCCGCAACTGGAGACGAAATCTCAAAAGGAACTAAAGAATGGCATGTGCACGGATAAGCCGACCATCACGAGCTCGGACGGAGATGTCGAGACAACGCCAGAGATGTCAGTCATATCGTCCATACATCACGGGTCTCAGAATTATGGCGGTCGAATGGGCCAACTTTCAGTCAAGATGACGCACTAAGGCAAATGGATGACAACAAATGCCGTTCAAATGCGTCTTCTGGTGAAGTTCAGCCAGTGGAAACCTTCATTGCCGTAAAGAAAACAAAAAGCCCCGACTTCTGTCAGCAAACTGACGTCGACCTTGTGAAATGTTCCGTGAGATGAGTTTATGCTCAAGGACGACCACTTCCTGACGTGAATTGTCTGAGGATGGTGTTCGTATTTGACGATCGCGGATCTCTAGGTCGAAAGAATCGTAAAGTACTGCAAGCGGAGTAATTTATTAGTCTGTGTTAGCTCATTAGCAAATTTGCCACATCGTTATATCCCATTAAAACGACAGAAGATTGTAATTTGATTAATTATAAATAGATTTTATCGATAGTTTGCGGGAAACAACAGTTACAAAAACAGAGGAGGCACGGAACGGAAGCGTCGGTGCAGACCAGGGCGAGGCAGGTAAATCCCTGCTAACGTTCAACGCCTTCCAATCGCCAAGAGTCACGACTAGCAACACCTGTGAGGGTCAAGGTCCGGAAGCGGGAGCCTCTCCAGAGCCACGGAGCACTACCCTTTCCTTCCAGAAGCGGGGCCTTGGCCGGATCAGTCATCAAGGACAGGTTCACGGCCATGCAATTGAAATGAGATACATGATGAAATAATGGAACCAAACACGGGCGATAGTATCAACAAACACTCGGCAGGGAGACTGTCGGCAGTGCCAAACCTTGTAACAGCGCAGCGGAGAAGACCAAGGGCAAATGTCATAGGGGGACCTTGCTCGCAAAAGGTAGAGTAGAAGGGACATTAAATTATGGTAACATGATCATGAATTTGGCCTTGATTCGGGACGACGGTCAATGTATCACCCGTCGAAATATGCATTTTATTGCACATCCATAGGTGCGGCTAAACATGTATCGGCACATTACCAGCGACGATTAAAAAGGTTGCCACAAAAAGCACCTAGAACATCGAATTGTTCGACATTTTTACTCGGTAAGTCAGCGTATTTTGATGACAGCGCACTGTAGATCACTATGTATGACGGCACGTAGACGGCAGCTTGTACCCGATCACTGGCAGACACTTAAAACTATAATGAGCGATCAGTGGACTGTAGTCAACGGGCAGTGGGGAGTCACCAGCAGGCTGCACTACCGACTCTGACTACAAGTATGACTCTGCATCCCGCCCGCCTCCTCACCTGCAGGTAGAGCGTCTTTTCACGTGCTAAGCTGACGAACGGCACCACCACGATGGCCTTGCGCTTCTGAGAGACCACCCGGCGCAGCAGCAAGATCTCTGCCACCAGTGTCTTGCCTGGGTGATCGAAGCGAGTTAGTACAGGAAGGCATAGCACAGCATCGAATGGTCACATTTCCAGCTTTGATTGTGCTTCATTTACCGGCGCTCTGGTCTAACGCTCACATTCCATATGGAAAAGATGCGTCTAAAAAGGTCATAGAATTTGAATTTGATTCAATATTGCCTCAGAAAAAAAAAACTGAGATCAGAGTCGGAGACCAGCCTTGGCGGATACAAATATTCTCTTCTGCGCAACACGAGCCACGAAACAGTCGGCGACTACGTTTTCGATTCTCGGAAGCATATGCAGTCAAACATTTTGGTATTTGTCGAACCTTCTACATATATTGATTACTTGAATAATCACTTTGTGATGTTTCTGAGCATGGCTGAACATATTCATTAATCATCAATTCTGTTGATGCATCAAGGCCTTTCGCATGCCAAGTTGTTTGTCCTGCATACGAAAACTGTGCTGAAAATTGGCAAGTATGCAGCGCTATGGGCTGGGTAAAACACGGCGTCCGGACTGGTAACCCCGCAGGACAGACTGAGGGCGAGACCCATCTACCTACCCCGATAACCAGGGTGGAGGTGACGGGTCGCCCGGCGCCACCACCACCGCTAGGGCATCGCCCAGGGTCCCTGGGGCCATTCAAAAGGCAGCCAGATGCGGTGTAATCCGGCCAGACAGAAAGTAATCTTGGTCCAGACCACTGTCACCTCACCAGCCAGCAAATACAATCGAGCTGACATCGCCGATGGCACATAATCAGTAAACGTGTTTATTGCCTAGGCATTAGCACCACACTTGACCAAGGCAGTCCCACCCCCTCCAATCCTAGAATGCCAGCGACCTTGCACAAGATCCGAGCACGATGCATGTGCATATGCAGAGCTCGTTGCAGTGACGGGGCCGACAGAATCTGTCACCTTAGAAAGCCTCTTGGGCGACTCTCAGTGGCTTGCATATCGCCGGCACGGGATAACTAACAGGATTAGCGGCAGGTAGCTGCGACATGCCACCCCCACCGGCCCGCCAAAACAGACACCTGGCAAAGCAAGGCCCCTCGAGACTTTCGTAACATGGACTGGTGGCAAGCTACAGAACCCGCGAGGTTGGCACACGGCACGGACTCCGTGTTCAAGGCAGGTTAGGTGACCCCGAACCACAACACCTCATTGAGTTCTATCGTCCTTGATATTGCAGAAACGAATGTCATTAGTAAAAGTAAGCTATATATTGCGAAAGTGATCTGGTGACGTGGATCACCTAATTCAATTAAAAATTACAGATCGCACTAGCGACGCGAACAGGTTTAAATTAAATACGTGCTGAAGAGACCACGACTCGCAACCCTAAAAATTAGAGTGGGATGAAAGCGACACGAGCCATGTCCTACGACACAATCACAAATTAAAATGCCATCAAGGATGACATAGGTAACCTAGTCAATTAGTTAGGGTTTAGAGACGCATTGACTTCAGTGTGGTTACAAGACATATGGGTTTCCATTAGCAAATATAATATCCTTAGATCACAGAAGGCCTTATGTATATGTATAATCGCACTGGTAATCCTAGTGAGTTTTGAGCATAAAAAAGTGGAGCATACGTTCATGCGCAGTTGAACCGCAGTCGGGTCAAGAACCGCAATGAATCGAGGTCAGGCCATTGACCTCGAGTCGAATACTTAGACCATGCCTTGGTATTTATAATCATGGCCATCAGCTTCTTTCATTCTAATGCCTCCTAAGATAACGATCACGTCGTATCATGCAGTATCATGTAGGAACGCTGAAGTCAGATAAAAGTCAGCCATGACAACTTCTCTCTGCCAGCGGCGCAGTTCTCGCTAGTTTCGGTCGGTCGTCGCCCCGTCTTCGGTGCTCCGTGTGAACCCATCCAGACGGGTTAGCGCCCACCACTGTCACGACGGGGGTTAGCTGATTCATATTGGGGGCTGGGGCCCGGGGGTGTTTGTCCAGCCGAGCTGAGCAGTGTGCAGCGTGCACTGCAATTGCTGTGAGGTTTCTCCTTTAACTGAGTTTTGAGGAGAGGAATGTGTGAAGACCGGTAAGGGTAACTTAAATACAAAGTGCAAGGCGCGATTTTAGGGATGTGTCGTGTCGTCGTGCATTGGCACTCACGCAGCGTTGGAATTGTGGGCTCTTTCTGGTCCCGGGGTTTTATCCTCCGGTTGGGTTAACCCCGTCAAGAGTTGAGCCTATCGGGACCTGCTCAGGGCCGCGGCTGTTTTCGTCACTCGCCCTAGCCGAGATGCAAAGTCAATAGTCACACGAAGAGTTTAACCCGCGCATGACTGGGGGGGGGCACTACAAAGCCCCCCTCCCGTTTTTCGGCTAAATCTTCTAAACCGTTTGACAGATCAACACGAAACATGCGGCACACTCAATCGCATCAATTTGACAACTTGTGTTAAAATTTCAACTTTCTAGCTACCATAGTTTGGCTAGAAATGACGTCAGAGTGACGTCATGTCGGCCGATTGTGATGCAAAATATTGAATTACGGCAAACGCTCTCAAGAGCTCAGTTTTAAGGCTAGATCCAATTTCTTTGCATGAGTGGACTACAAATATACGTAGCTATCCAACTGATACCCCGAATTTTCGAAATTTTGATAATTTTGAAAAATATGTATTTACAATTACAAAAAAAAAAAATATAGGGGAAGTTGGGGGAACGCCGAATACTTTTTTCTGACGCCTGTAGCACGCAACGTAGACAACATAAGCTATTCTTGTTGGCGTCATTCGAGAGGCCAGTCGTTTGCCTTTCAAACATACCAGGCGCATTTGATGAATTCGCATACCGTTAAGCATACAAACTAAGAATATCAAAGAAGTGACTTTTTCGGCGTTGCCCCGGACTGCGGGGAAAGCCGAAAATGGGAAAAATGATCTACGGGGAATGCCGACAATGATGTTTTGCCATTTTATCTCAAACTTTATCCAGAATTCATCAAAGCTGACACGCGTTTAAGATCTTGAGGACGCTTGGTGCACACTGGAAGTTATAATTGTGTGATATAATAAGAAAATGCCAGGTAAATCATTCCTTATAGGTAACAGGCCGTTGTGTCGGTTGAAAGTGTAATTTGTGTGGCTAAAAATACGCGTTGCTATTCTACAGCAGTAAAGTCCACGTATCGTGCTTTAACGTGCGTAATTGCACGTTTTCGGCATTACCCCAGCCAGCCATACTTTCATTTGCAGGCCCATTACTTTTCAACGTGCTGTATAAATTTCAAATAGGCAGCACACTTATGCAAAGACATGCTGAAGATTACTTGACCGAATTGGCCAGACAAACGGTAGCATAATGAGTAACAAATGCAGCTTCAAAGGCGCATGTAGTACAAGGGAAACGTACCTTGAAAACGCTCTTGGCGCCCTCACAGCCGAAGTTTTCCGAATGACGACTCGTAACAAACATGCGATAATTGTAGTCACTTAAGATTCAGAGCATCACTGACAGGTGGCATTCATGTCGTACAGTTTTCGAAATATCTCGAATTTCGGCTTTGCCCCAACTCCGGCATTGCCCCAACTTCCCCTATTTGATTTTTTTCAAAACGTTTTTGATTTTTCGAAAAACCGTAATATATGTGATAGAACACACACTGGTAAACTACTCTAGCAAGTTGTAGCCTAATTTCTGTAAAAATAGCCATGATATTTGTATCATTGTCAAAATTTTACATTTATGTATTTTTTAAAACCATTTTCAGTACATTTTTGACATCGTACAGCAATATAAATGGCACCATCGTGTTCCTCAGGTCAAACTGCATCTGACAGGCACCTTTTATATTGAACAATATCATTTTTAAAATTTGACCTTTTCTGACCTGAAAGTGACCTAACCTCCGGTAGATGCAGCTGAAAATGACCTCAAATGACACAGACGACATTGTTTTCGAAATCTACGAGTAAAATGGACCATAAAACATACGGCACGTGACCGATACATGATATACAATTTTCGTAACCTAGGATGACCTGGCCTTGACCTGAAAAATACGAAGTAAAAGTTCGGTACCCTCAAAGTATCTAAGGCATATACCAAGGAAAGCGTTAACCAAAAATGAGCCTGATCGGACTTATCAGCCGGCGGTCAGAGCCTAAATTGTGAACAAGCAAAAATGATAATTTTAATTTGACCTGACCTGTGACGTCATCGGTGTCCTCGAGGTTAATGAAAATAGGTTTAGTTCGACAGTTTTTTCCAGGGCTATCAGAAGCCGTTTGAAGTTTGACGATCGGCCCAGTAGTTTCGGAGATAGGAGGGGAGCTCTGGATAGCCCCCCCCCCCCCCCCGTCACTCGCGTTATGGAAAATACCCGGGCCAGGCAAACCAGCCTAGTTCAGAGTTATTATTAATGTTTGGATAAATATGAAAGAATAGCGCTTTGGAGAAACGTTAAAATTCGAAATCGTTTACCTATTCAGGGGCCCTGAATAAGCTTCGTGTGACTATCAACTTTGCATCTCGACTAGAGCGAGCGGCGAAAGCAACCGCGGCCCTGACAGGGTCCCGAAAGGCTAAACGCTGGACAGGGCTAACTCACCCGGAGAATAAATCAACGGGACCAGAAAGAGGCCACAGTTCCAACGCTGATTGGCAGACAATTCGTAAGATTACCAAAACACAAAACATCATTCTTATATTTCCGATATCAGACTGATAACGTTTCCCTGTCTCTTTTAACATTTGAACACCAGCCTGGAAACGGTAGGTCTAGGGCATTATGATTCGCTTTGCAGACCAACAGGTGAGAATTGGACTCGAGCGAGTTCAGAGGTGAAGGCACAGGGCCCATTCGAAGGCAGCGTTTTACTGTTATGCTTGACTGATGCAAATCTAGGCTGTAGCTACAATACACTTAGTCGACTAACAATTAATGTCAGTGCTTCCAAACACCCGCTACCACTTTGTAATTCGGGAGCCCGGATGTCATTAGCATCGAAGACGGAATACCTACCATAACAAAGCTGCGATGTCTCACTGGTAGGCAGAGACTTCGCCGGCATGTCTTAAGGCCGCCGTCCACTGTGCGGAACGCGTGCGGTCCGTACGGAATTTAACACAGAACCCTATGGGCGCATCCGGTCCGTACGGAAATCGTGTGCGCTCCGTCCGGACCGCATCCGAACGTCAATCAGCTGTTGATTTTCCGTCAGCTCTCCGCATGCGTTTCGGATGCGGTTGCTACGGAGACGGAAGAGTGATGTCCGACGCGTTGAACTTTCCTGCGGAAAACGCATCCGGAACGTCCGGAACAGACGTGGTTTGGGGCCGTATCGGAGGCAAACATTGTGAATTGTACGAAGAATTGGAACTCGATCATCATGAAGTAAGTAGAAATTATTTCCTTAGAATGGCAAGAGTATTCGCTGCTGGTTACTTGCAATATTTTATTTGGTAATAAGTGATAGGAAACATTTATTAGCTCTCCGCATCCGGACCGCATCCGGACCGGATGCGGCGATATTCCGGACGGACTCCGGACGGAATTCCGTCGCAGTGGACGGCGGCCTTAACTGTAATCATTCTCTGCCTTCTGCAAGGCTGGTTACCGATACCACATAGGCCTCTGCGGCGAAGGAGCCCAGAAAGCTGGCTCGGTGGGGGAATCACACGGCTACTGAGAAATCCCAGCCACGGCCCGATATATGCGGAACGTTCTGACCGATCAGACGTCTTATCACGAGACTATGCATGTCAGGTCTTATCGCAGACGTGAGGGCATTTAAATCGTCAAATGTTATGCTCGGTATTTGTGAAATATCGTTACATATAATCGCATCGTGAAAAATCAATAGTTTTTTATAAAACATCCCGTTTGAGTAAGTCGTATACTGGCCGTATATCAAAAATGCGACAATCAGATATGGATACTCATTTGTGATCGACACGGAGAGTTTCATGAAGGCCATCTGAAGGCCAGATTGCAATGGATTCACTTAGCCAGGGCAATCAAGGACAGAGCGGAGAGGAAGAAAGTCAACGAGGAAGTACATATGTAGCGAGGAGGGCTTTGCATAAGTAAGCATCTCAGACGACCTACATTGCAGACCGCCCTGTCTGGACGCCTAAGAACCCATTAGGAAAAGCGTGTTCCGCTTTTTAGCCTTCCCTGTACCTAGTATTGAATGGAGCAGTAGTACTGCCTACTGTTATCTGTGGAGCTGCTAATACGAAACCCACTAAATAAATAAATGGTACCAGCGAATATAATCCGCACGTGATGGGTCTATCATTCGGCATGCACGACGCCTAAAAAACTCACATTTGAATGTCTCTGTTGCTAAAAATGTACATCGAAAGTCAATATTGTCAAGTCAATAATACCTGCTTTTTTTGGAGCCCCTAACCAGTACTCAAGAGTTCAGATGAGCTATGTTGAACAGAACTAAGATGTGCTGAGAACCAATCTCCAACGGGCTCAATTAGGTTTCCCGTAAGAAACCTTTCCATCAGTTCAGTTAGCTCTCCCGGCGATAGACATTCTGGAATCTGGGGTAACATTAAATTAGCTAGATCACCGCCCGTACCTCGTCAGACGCAGGCACGTGCAATTCGTTTAATATGTCTCCAAGCCAAATAAACAAAAAAGATAATAGCGCCCCCTATCAAGGCCTTTATATGGCCTTGACGGCGCCTGCAACAAGTGAAGGGCTTCGCTAGACTTTGTGGATTAACTCAGGTCACGAATGTACACTCTCTTTCCCGATTCCGGAGTTTAAAGACATTATGTGACTGACCTACATGTGGACGTGTCGACTGGCTGGTCACGTGACGGCACGATCGTAATTCGTAAAAAGTCACATGACTCGGCACTCCACCAATTTCATGACATTGACTAGCACACTCAGCAAGGGATCTCCCCACGATGAGAACGTTTGAAGTAACGTAGCCGACATATCAAACCAGGCCCCATCACGTGGCCAGCCCACCTCTTCATTCACACACGTCACCTTGACCTGACTGCCACATCCCCAGCAAACCACCTCACGTGACCCACCAGCCCGAAGACCAGCTCGATCACGTGGCGGACCCACCTGAGGATGTGGGCGCCGAGTAGACGAGATTCCCTCCGTGGAGCACGTCGCCGGTCCTCAGACACTCGGCCTGCCAGCTGTATAAGTGGCTCAAACCGGCATTGATGTAGTTCTGTAACGGACGGGGCGGTAGGAGACAGAGTTAAAGCGCTGGATCCATGATGGGTGCCATGAAGATGAATAGAGGCAGTTTATAAACTCGAGTCTGGCCTCGAAAAATGGGGCTTCGAAACATGGCAGCCTTGTCTGATGTTGTTCTACATGATAAGATTTTGAAGCATGTAACTGAAAGCCCTTGTTCCCTTTCAACGCCTCTCTGTTTGGCCTGCAGAAGGGTGCATTATGTAGCTGTACCTGTCTGTGCAACACGAAAACAAGGCAACTGACATGGGACCAGTGCTTGATCTAGAGTCTAACTACCTGGAAAACAACCTTCGCTTTTCTTTTTGCAAATGGGAGCAACCAGAAGGTCGAGGACAACAGCATCTCTGCTGTACTCGTACCACCCCTCACGAACATAAAGTGAGTATGGCAAAATGAGCTTCATGTATTATGGACTTACAGGACAAAGAGCTATGCACAAAGTAGTTACAGGCAGCCAAGAAACACAGTTTTTCTATGAACAAATGGTCACCATGCCTCAAATCCCAAGAACAACATGCGGCCGATCAGCGGCCGTCCAACCATAAACTTATGATCCGACCTACCTGAGCAATGCAGTCGGGCAGTCCCCACTCAGTGATGGCACTCCGCGGTGAGGGACTTCCCCCTGTCACGACCTGTTCCTCCCCTCCTTCAGGAGAGGGACTTGCGTCCTTGATGGGAGATCTCACTGCGACTGGTAGTGTACTGGCCCCTGAATTATGAGTTCTCTGGTGCCCTCTAGATGCACTGGTGATAACACTCACACCACCATTGCGTGATCCCACTGCCACCGAGGATTGGTTGACCTCAGAGGTTCTCTGGTCACCTCTAGATGCCCTGGTGATATCATTTACATCATCACGGTGTGAGACATCACCTCGGTGAGAGGCGTCGGACCGGACCGACCCTTCTGCAGCTGGCTGGGACGTCTGACTGGTAGTGGTGATGTTCGCCTCCCCGGCTGCCGCCGCACCTTCCACCTCATCTATGGCCGCCCCCAGACCAGACATTGTCCACAGCGAGTCGTCCCTGGAGAGGAGCAGAGTGTCCGCCTCCGTCCTCTGCCGCTCCTCCCCGCTCTTTTCTCCGTCCGCCCCGCACTCTGTCCGACCCTCGGAGGTCCCCGCACCGTCATCGGCAGCGAAAGACTCGAGTAAACAGCCAACAGTCTCGTTTGCCACGGTGTGACCCACAGCAGCACTGGTGACATCCCCGGCGGTCGTCCGCTCCGCAGTCCGGTCCAGGACAGCACCACTGGTGTCTGTGGAGGTCGCTGGTGCCGTCCTGCCTTCCAGGACAGCACCGCTGGTGTCCCCTACAGCGGTAAACTCCAGGGTGGTCATCAGACGCGACCTGTCGGTGACCCGTCGGCGCCGGCCTCTGGCGGGTTTGGCGGCGGGCCGGGAGGCGCGGCTGGCGTTCGAGCCACCACGGCTGGAGTTGGCACCGCCGCGGCTGGCACGCTTCGCCGCTCTGGATGAGGTGTGAGGAACAGGCGGCGGAGGCATCATGGACGTCTCAATGGCAGCGGCAGCAGAGGGGGACCGCGGCAATCTGTTGTCAGCCAGGTCATCTGCACTCACCAGCTGCAACAGAGTGTCATCACCGAACAGCGTGCTGCCATGGGAGGCTGGGCCCGGAGCTGGAACTGAGACTGCTGCAGGGGTGGGTCGCAGGCGGCCAGCGCGGCGGGTGGACACTGTGCCACATCCATGGCCTTTGGAAGCAGGCAGCAGAAAGATGCAGTCTGAGAGCTTTGGGTGACCTGTTGAGCTGGAGAGACCCGGATCCAGCCGATCCAGAGAGGCCAAAAGTCCAGTGTTCTCCAGGGTGTCAGCAAACATGGAATCCATCTGTAACTTAAGACTTGAGTCAGCTTTTCAGTCCACATCAGCTTAATAGGTACATTCTGAGAAAAGCATACCAAATTGAAATGAAAAATAGGTACATAGGCTGATGCCTAAATAATGCATAAGCAATTGCTTATTGCATGCTTATCAATAACATCAACATGGAATCAAGCAGCTCTAATTATGTCTATTATAACAAAAAAAGAGCAGCTGGCCAATGAACACCTGGTTCTCCAATCTCAACACTCCATAGTCCAACTGTTCCTTTCCGCATCACGGAGCTCCAAATTAAAATAGATGTATTGATTGACTGAGCACTAGCATCTGGAAGTCCTTTGTATTCACAAGTAGGCATTCATTACCATTATTGTTATCACTTAAATGAGCTTACAATTCAATCAGCCAATCCATTCAGCACCACTTAAAGGGAATAGTTCACTTTCCTGATATTAGTCTTTTTACAATTAATTATTTTTTTTGCTCAAAATCATCAGAAAATAAGATAAAACTTTCCCATGAAAAGGATTATATTCTAAATTTCAATAGAGGAAGGACTATATTCTTTATAGAATAATGTTAGGCGTGGATGCTTATAACACGTTAATCATATTGCGTAAATCAAATTTACGCACAATTTACGCATGCTGGATTGACTCTAAGCAGCATGCTGATTGGCTGATGATGGCGTGGCTGCATTCCTCAGCAAAGGCACTCTTTACGGAATGAGAAAGGAAAAATCTTCGTCTAGGGTGATCACTGGGCCATAAAAGCTCCTGATTTGCACCTGTCTCAGCAGCTCAAGCTATGAAACTGCCAATCCAGTTAAAAACCCCATGTAAAAGTGAACTATTTCCTTTAATACAACACCCAGGCCCAATCATCCATTTCAATTTGGACTAATTTCACTTATAAAACGTGTTACAGAAATAAGTGGAGCTATTTGCTGTGAACTATGTTGTTTATTATTTGTGATTTGATGGGTGAAAAAGATGGTCTTCAAAGACATTGTTAAATAAAAACACTTGTTTTAAAAGTTACCCAACTTTTACGGAAAGCAAAGTCATATTAGACTGCAGACACTGCATCAGACTGGAAATATACATTTCATTTTAGAAAGTAATCATAGAAAGTATTTACTTCAATCACCTGCTTACAGTAAATTCGTTTGGGTGGAACTTAGGATGAGGGCTGGCTTACACCAACATGAAACTGTAATTTTGAAAACATTGGAAAAAAATGATTTATTTTACCTGACTTTCGTTGAACCAAGTGGTGTATGTGCTTTGAAATATATCAAGCGAATTGTAGCAGCATATTGCAACTTGAAAAATCACACATTACTTTTAACTGATATAGCGACATTGACACGCACGAAAACAAACATCCGCACTGTCACATTGTCGCTGAGAAATTGAAATATTTATTTTTTTGATAGTCGCGCGAAATTTGCGCCACCTGTAACAGTTTCGTCATATTTGAAAAAGTTGGTAGGAATGGATATGGTAGCATTCTTCCTCTACTCTTGGTTTCCTTTCCAATTCTCCTATGACTGGTCTGATACCCTCAACCTGAACAATAATGGGCATCGGGATGTTTTCGCCTTGATAGAGTATTTCTAGATGTAAATCAAGACAAAACACTTACTATATGTGGACAGGGACAAAAAAGTGTCTATGGCTCGGGGCACAAGCTGTCGTCGCCATGGCTGGCATCATTGTCCCGCTCCCGTTGCCCGTCAACCGTCTAAACATGCCTACCTACGAGTAGGTACCGTATTCTAAGCCCGTCATTGCCTTTTACGCTGACCTGAAGGCTGAACCTGGTGACGGTGGACGGTGGTTTCCTTGATCAATACCTGATCATATCATGGCTCATCCTTTGCATCCTTTTGGACTTCAATGGGTAACAACCAGTGGCGGATCCAGGGGGGGGGGCAAAATGGGCATTTCCCCCCCCCAAGTGGCATAATTTTAACATTACGCCTATGGACGATGCATGGAAAGAATCGATAAATTGTTATGGTTTGCCCCCCCCCCAAAAAAAACTCTGAGCTGGATCCGCCTCTGGTAACAACTAACAAAAAGGACTCCGACTATTACGTTCACTTACGGATTGTTAGGGCAAGTTCAGGGCTATACACCTCACCACCTGTAGTCTGTACCCATGTGGGGACACGGGACATTTGACGAGATAACGCATGGATATATGTATTCGGTATGCCTTCACTGTCTATTGTTTTTAGGGGCCGGGGTAGCGGAACTGTGCAAGGTAACTGGTAAGCCATTGACAAATGTCTACTTAGACGACAGCTCGTTCAGTGCAGAATCTGCAGATTCGAAGGTACTGGGTACAGCATCCAGTCGATAACTGATCTGATCATGGTTTGGAGACCGTGACCCGCATTCGACGGTGTTGTGATTTTGTGGAATGCGGCTCGTCACTGAGCTGATCTTTGACTGGCACATGACACACATCATCAGAGAGATAACGCTCTCGCTCTGGGCCCCATATGGCAGCGGCATCAGCTGCTGCAGGGCTGCCAACTGGATCATCTGTGGTCAATCACAATCGGTATGTGACTGTTCACCGTCGTATCCTGGTAATGGAACGTTGGACAAATTAGATCGGGGCTGAGTTTTATGGCTGATAGGCGTTTGTATGTATGTACCTATATACCTACATATTTACTTCTGTCGTAAAACGGACCATCAATAGATACGAATGGATGCTATTTTTCCTGGAAAAAATTCTCATCAATTTAGTGACAATAGCATAAATGGTAGAGGCCGCGTACACATAAATGGACATTGCACACGTAACCGTTACCATGACTAGGTCTAAGCCTCACAGCAGCTAAGGTTATACCAGGATGACGATGGTGACACATACCGCCACTTCCCAGTCCTACAGCAACCCGGCACTGCATGCACATTGCACGCCCTGTCGCCCCTGAGCGCACTGCCAGCTCCCAGACAGGTGCACAATCCGCGCTTACGACTTGAAGATCACCTTGGTCGGCTGAGCACCTCCGCATTTGGCCGCGGTGGGCCTGCCCGACGAGTGTGGCGCACCGCTTATTCTTACCGAGCGCCGACATTCCTCCCGGCAATCTGATCAGAGCTCATGCGTCCAGAGCTCGGCCGCACCTCGCCCCACGGGGCCACGGGCCGTCCCCAGTGGCTCAGATCTCCCCGGCAGAGCGCACGCGTGTTGATCAGTGTATCGTGCGTTCCCGACCCGCCCATCTCGTAGATATCTGGCCCATTTCACGGCCAACAGTGCTGTAATGGGCGCTGCTTTGGTCCACACAGCTGCGTCCCGCTCACGTTTTTCCCAAATGCATAATCGGCGCGGATTGTGAACTGGTGCATGTGATGGAGATCCTGTCAAGGTCAGGCGGTCCGTCGGCCGGGCCGAGGCTCTGGCCAGTGACGGACCATCATGTCGCTCGGGGCCTGCTTTATCGCCTATGAATGCTCAATTAAAAGCTGGGGCGCTAAAAACTGGCTTCTGTCACTCAGCTCACGTCGTTTCGGCCTTTCGGACCTCGGCTCTCATGAGCTATCCTATTTTTTTTTTTTCAAAAGACCTAATCTATTCTAACGTAATACAGACCGAATACAGACCGAGTGCTATTTAAAAGTAGTGATGTGAGTCTCACTCACAAGCATAAGGACGGCGCCTCCACGACCCGCCTATTGCGACATCTTTGGGAGGAGTAGGTATCCTCGCCGCCCTCGCCCTCGTGTCGTCCCTCAGCCTCCGATCCGGGGCCGATCCAGGGACACCACAGACGGGAGAGCTGCAGATCAGGGCGGCTGGCACAGCTGCTGGCCAGATGAAGCCCTCAGATACCGGAGCGGCCTCAGCTGTGGGCAGGCAGCCAGCATGCAAATACTGCAGTATGGTTGGAAACGGCCTCACGGATGGCCGTGGGCAATTTCGGAATATATGTATATTTGGGGTGTCATTCTGTTGGAAATTGATGAAATGTTTTGAATTGGGCAGAAAAAATTATTTAGTTGCGCATTTAGTCTCCATTATTGTACGTGGAATCGGGAGTTTCTGAGAGTGGCTTTTTTGGTGCGCCGTCAAAGGTTTAAACAAACGCGCTGGTGATAGCATGTGGAGTACCTCCATGACGTTGTAAAACTGGATTATTATATATCAAAATAATCCTTGTTATGTTGGCTATCGAGTGGAGCGACTCTTTTTCCCATGCGTGTTCAAAATCAGGAACGGCATTGCATTCTGTTTGCAGTGTCACCACAGCAATATTTGCAAAATTACGTTTATGTTTCATTGGACATACAAAAAGTTCTCCATCGACCTCCATTGAGCTTTTTGGCAGAATAAGTCTCTGTTCAATTCTGCGTAAGGGGAACGTAAAAGCAGACTGCGCACTTGTGCGCAAAATCGTCCGTGAAGCTTCATCTCCCGAGGCGTACCTACCCGTCGCTTCGTTAGCACCAGGTCGGCTCGTCAGTCTTGCAATCGCTTATCCTTATAAATGATGGTAAGAAGCAGGGTTGCGGAGTCGTGGTGGCGCCAAATCCGACTCCGACTACGACTCCGACTCCTGACTCGTTGCCATGACTCCGGCCGACTCTGTCTCCGACTCCGGACCCCTGCCAGTGTTTCGGAGTCGTGATGGAGCTGTTCCGATTCGGACCGACTCCGACTTCCACTGCGGGCTCCTGACCGACCCCGACTCCGACTCCGACTCCTGGCTCGTTGCCACGACTCTGGGCGACTCTGGCTCCGACTCCGACTCTGACTCCGACTCTGACTTCGACTCCGCACCCCTCGTAAGAAGTAACTGCTCGCCGCTGCACCTGGAGTATGGATATCGTGCAAAGGTGTATGGATATCCTGGAGTATGGATATGGATATCCACCGACAGAGCAGACATACAGACATGCTGTAAACGCCATTACACTGCCAATACCATGGCAAATCAAATGGCTATCTATGGTTTTTGATAATCGTTCTACATTTCCCAAAATCTTGAACTGAATGTTGGCAATTTCTCGTGACTGCTTCACGACCATGATGCATGCATTTCTGAAATTGATCTTTTTTCAACCAGCTACGTACTCGTATGATAAAATGAATGTCACCATCGTGTTCTACGCCCAAAAGTACCCATAAAACATGTGTCATGCATGGGCTGCGAATAGGTACCAGTTTTAATTTTCGGGGTTATGTGCTTACCTGATTGACCTGACTTTGACCCTGGCCAGTGGCCTATGTTTGACTGACCCCTACATTGATCTGACACTCTTTTAGCACTTATATGAAGGGTTGTGACAGTTGTGACAGTTGTAACAGATTGTTTAGGACCAACTGACTGAATTTATTTAGGACCAACTGATGACAATATAATCGAAACGCGAAACGCGAGGCACCGATTGCGAGGTTCTAAAGTCCATGCTACTGAAAGCCCGATTTCAAGTGTTTGACCTGACCTTGACCCGACCTGTGACCTCGAAATTCAACTTTAAAGCATTCATGTGAATTGTCTCGTCGCGTTCTTCTTTCGTTTGCCGCGCCTCGTGCGTTTCGCTGCGCCTATTTGTTCGCGAGTCATCGGCTGGGGGCGTTGAACGCCCCCCCCCCCCCCGGCAAACGGCGGATGGGGAAATACCCCAGCAACTGCCGGGTTAATCTGACGCATGTTTTGTCATTTGATCGTCATTTTATTTCTTACTTTTTTGCACAATCTAAAAAAATCATAAATACTCTTTCTCCAAATTTTTGACCCTTTAAGACCAATAGTAAGACACTGTGCGTCACTACGTTGATATTTCTTGCCCTAAAGCATAACAACAATATCCATTCAGTAATAGCAGTATTCAAAACATGTTCAAAATGCCTCGCGATATCGATAACATAACGAAAGACATAGGCGACTTATAACATACTTGCAATGATGACGTCACACACGCGTGACGTGACGTGACCTCGTCATTTCTGAGTTACTGTATGATGCACGAAAGACACTGGTATACCTATGCAAAGTTTCATCGCAGTCGGTCTACGCATTAACAAGTTATGGGCAAAACATGTTTTCGCGTTGACCCCCGGCCATCCGTGAGGCCGTTTCCAACCATAGTGTACTGGAGCGGTCGCCCGGTCGACAGGGCTGCGCTCCGGCGCGGTGCCGAACAGGGGCACTCAGCACTCACGGGGTAAGGCGGCGTCAAGGCTGCAGCTCCGGGCAGAGGAGGGGGTCGGATCCTATCCTCGATACGGGCCTGTCCGTGGGCCTCCACTGTCGGTGACGTCGGCTGCAGCGATACTGATGGATCGCGGGCACATCCGTGTCGCCAAGAGGCCCTTGGTTGTCTGGTCTTGTTCTAGGTTGTGATTTCATATTGCTACATTC